TATCACTATTGTGAGTGCTGGTGACTCAGTCACTAGAGCTGTGGACTACTGCTTTTGTGATATGTATGTATATATATATATATATATATATATATATATATATATATATATATATATATATATATATATATATATATATATATATATATATATATAAAGAACGTGGATCAATTGTCCAGATAAACGCGGCCTAAACATATTGCGTAGCAGGTCAACTGAACATTTTCTTTGATATTTGTGGGTGGCCTCTCTGAAGACACGACAAGCGCTGGTGAAGCCGAGGGCGTAGAGAGCCACTTTAAATTCAATAAAGCGTCTTGTCTTCGGGGCCTTTCACACAAGACACTCATTCATTTTCTTGAAGACGCTGCCGGGCTCTTCTGCTGAAAGGCGCCCGCCGTCCTGGAGGCCTCGAGACGAGAGATAAGACAGGGTCTGTGGACAGCTCGGTAACTGTACCCAGATATTTATATTTTGTACCAGATATTTTGGCGTTTGTCATCGTGGTGGAATTCAGTTTGCCTTTAAATGTGCAAGTATTGTGCATGATAGAGCCAGGGAAGTGGATTCGCGGCGTTGTGCTCTCAATGCACAAGGTTATGTGACTCCTGATAAGGTTCCTACACTGCTCTCGATGCAGCGAAGATAGTTGTGTTTACTTTCGTCAGGTAGAGCACGATATGAGCATGTAAGTCGTTGCTGGCAGATCCTACACAAGGAAGATGTTCAGTTATCTGAGTGCATATGTATTCAGCTATGTTGAGTCATGAGGAGTTTGGTGCAGCAGAGAGAGAGAGGCTTGGCTGAGGTGTGAAGTCATTAATCTCTCTAGGATTCGGTTGACGCTATTGATTGGGTAAGTCAACCAAGTTTCAGGTCACTTTCAAAAGTATTCACTCTCATGTAGTCACTTTCAGGTCAAATGTTAAGTGAAGAATGTATTCTACATTCTTTACCCATTTGGGGAACTCCACTTTCTCTAGATGGTCCAAGACCAACTCTGTCATTGGCCAGTTATGATTCCTGTCATTTCATTGGCTTGGACTCCTTAGTCAAAGGACAACTCACCAGTTGCTGGGTGAGACTGGGTTCGATATTCTATACAAATAGTCCACATCCTTTAAATTCTCTTTGATTCCCCCCAAACCAAAGTCTCTAAACTCAAAGTTGAAGTTGTCTTCTGCATATCACATGTTCCCAACTTGCGTCCTACAGAATCCCCAAGTCTTGTTCTCGCTATAGTCAAAGCAAATGGGAACTTTGTGCAAGTGGGGACATAGCTTGACTGATCCCAGGTGATGAAGTAATAACAGGAGTGAGCAGGCGATGAGTCACAATAACGTGACTAAAGTATGTTGACCAGACCATTAGTGTTAAACTATCGCTTACTGTGGTTTACAGTAAGTATAACAGTATAACATTGTATAACATTTACAGTATAACAACATTGCTGTGAGAGAGAGAGAGAAAGGTAAGTTAAGGTAAATATAAAAAAGGAAGAACCATGTTAGTCTAACTATATAACACTTGAGCACTATATAACAATAAATATAGAGACAAGGAGCTTGGATAGACGGAAGGAACAGACCTCAGTCAATTAGACCTTCCAGGACAGCACGTCGACCTGCAAAAAAAACGAGATCGACGCCTACGGACAAGTCATTAAGCCTGAGAAAAAAAAGAGAGAGTTTAACCAAAAAATAAACATTAAATTGTCTGGACGAATTAATTCCTCCTCTCTGTAAAATTTCCTTTCTTATTTCCTTGCGCCAAATTAAGCTCTTGTATCAGAATTGTTGAGGACCTGAATTACTCCTCCCATTGTCTGGCCTGGCCAGAGGACCCTCTCGGGCCGGACTCAAGGAGACGGAGGTGAGGAAAAAACTCCTCCAGCAGAGAGCAGGTTCTTATATCAGGATGCTGAGGTCAGCAGCAGGAGATGAGGCGCCCATTGCGTCGTCTGGGATAAAGATGAAAAGATGCTGGATCAACAGCAACAGGGAAAGATAGGTAGGAGCTGCAGCTAAATAAGGAAGCAAAATGAGAACAGAAATTAAGAACGAAATATCGAAGAAAGTGATAAATGAGAGCATCTCACATGGGAATACATGGAGACGCCATTGGAAGGTTGATGACGTTAGCCAGAGCTGTGAATAGAAAGGGGACGATGATGAAGCCGTCAGTACTCACTGTACTCGTTCTTATTATGTAACAAGCGTCCAATGTGTACACTTTTATTGCACTTGTATGTACAATCCTATACCACCCCGTCTGAGCTCTCGAAGCCGATGATCATTACCCTTGAACACGGATAGTTCCATGTATTTGTGTGGCCACTAAACATTACTAATAGGCTTGTATCCCGGGCCTACAAATATTGGGAAAATGCGTTGTAAGAGAGGAAGGAAGAGGATAGACAGGAACTATTGAAGAGAAAGTTCTAAAGGAGCAGCAAGAAGAGTTGTTAGAGAAAGATGGTGATGAAGGAGGAAGAGAAATAAGTGCTGACAGAGTAGCAGGGGGAAAGGAAGATAATTATCAGGGGAAATCGCCACGCCATTACGACTATATAGCACTTGGAAGGGGTCAGGATAAGGATTTGGGATGGAACAGGGGGAAAGGAATTGAGGAATAATTGTGGATTGTTTAATGAAGATAATAAACAACAAAAATTGAAGATTGATTGATTGATGAAGATTAAGCCACCCAAAAGGTGGCATGGGCATGAATAGCCCGTAAGTGGTGGCCCTTTTAAGCCATTACCAGTATCAATAGATGATACTGGAGATCTGTGGAGGTGCGACTGCACCCAGCGTGACGGGAGATGTCTCCCGGACCAAATGGTGACCAGATGGTGAAAAATTGAAGATGATCAGAAGACGTCACGTGAGATCGAGCAAGATACAAGAGGTAGAAGGAGGAGAAGCAACTTTGCATGACATAATCTCCTCGACATCCCTACCTGAGCGCCTCGAGAAGACACCAACCAACATAGACCCCAAAAATGGTCTGGTATTGTTAGAGAAGTTTCTCAAGTTTAGTCACCTCACCAAGGGTGGGCGCCTCCTTGTCATCGACCCACAGAAGCTGAAGACTTTGAAAGAATTACAAGATGCCACGGGTCCTCCTCCTCCTCCTCCTTCTCTTCTGTTGCGTCTTAAAAACCTAAAGCTCTCTTGAGGTGTGGAGCTGGAAGAAGACACGAGGAATCTTTTCTCACTCGTTTATTTTGCAGCTGTTGCGAATAATAATTTGTAACAATAAATATTATGATAATAAATATTATTATAGAAATTGAAATTATAGCAAATTACAATGAGCATCATAATGGGGGAGGACTATTTTTGGGAGATGATGTGTGTGTGTGTGTGTGTGTGTGTGTGTGTGTGTGTGTGTGTGTGTGTGTGTGTGTGTGTGTGTGTGTGTGTGTGTGTGTGTGTTGAAGGGAATGTCTGCTGTGACTCTGTAAGACTATAGATAAATTACATGTCTGCATGTTGAGAAAGAGAGAGACTCAGGCCCCCCCTCTAACTACGAGGCCATTTAGTGACAGTAAAAGGCATGAAGTGACCCCGTTAGACATTAATTTGCAATCAATGACAACAATCCGACACGAACCTGATGACGTTCCTAGCGGCAGTCACTGTCAGTGTTACGTTGCTAATGATAAGTTAGCTGAAAATATAATTGGATGATTACAGGATAGTTGGCAACAGGTTACAAGGCACCAGGATGGCTGACAACCTATTACCTGGCACCAGATTGTCAAACGTAGTGACACACAAACACTGACTTGCAAACATTTATTGACCCTCCTCTTATATAACTCAGGCTGACTTCCAAGTAATGAGCTTCTGGGAAAACAAAAGAGACGTCACTTGGAAAATGAACCTGTGCACACACAAGACTCGCACGCACACCCAATGAGAGAGAGAGAGAGAGAGAGAGAGAGAGAGAGAGAGAGAGAGAGAGAGAGAGAGAGAGAGAGAGAGAGAGAGAGAGAGAGAGAGAGAGAGAGAGAGAGAGAGAGAGAGAAAGAGAGAGCAAAGAATACGACAATTAGGATTTCATGAAACTCTGTCTCAATGCACACTACCCGCGCTTGACTAGACTGTCTCGCTGTTGGATACATTTAAAGACTCAAGCTACTGTGAAAGGTCTAATACCCCCTTTTGCATCAGTATGCAATTCCTGAATAAAAAATTGAGCTCAGAGAGCATTGCAGAGTTGGTAATTGAGACAGGTCTCTCTTGTACATTGGTGGATAGATAATGTGGTAAAAGATTGGTAATGTAGTGTACTGAATGATAGGTAATGTAGTGTATTGATTGATAAGTAATGTAGTGAAGGATGAGTAATGTAATATAGTGAAATATATATGTCATATACTGAAGGATATGTAAGGTAGTGAAGTAGTATGTAATGTAGTAAAAAAAAGTTATGCTATATAAAAAGGAGGTAAATACTGTTTTTACAGTGAAACATTACATACGCAGGTTTCCTTTGTATTTAATTATTATTAAATGTTGTAATTTTGTTTCGAATGAAAAGTTAAGATATGCTTTGTCCACAGGGTTCCTTTCTTGGGATGAAGAAAAGGCGCACGTGGACATCCACAAGGAACTCGCCACTATTGCTGAACTTAACTTAGAAGGAGAAGAACAGAAGGGAGGTGAGTTATGCTGAAATTTTGAAAAGTGTTTTAAGCATTTTTAAGTATTTAGCAATTTAGCATAGATTATATTAACTTTTTGTGCCATATGTTTGTTATAGTTATTTGCTATTCATACATGCATACATTATATACTTGTTGGAAAACTATAGTTCAATAGGCACAACAGATTTGTCGCATACACCCAAATGTATTCATGTATATTTTGTACTGTCACCTAAGAGAAATTGTTTTTAAACTTCATCTATTTTTAAGGAATCAAAATTGATTGCATTCCGTTTCAACAGGAGAACGGCTAATCCAATATGCCACCGAGAATCTGGTAGCAGAAGTGTTGATCCACCCCCAGGTCAACACCCTGCAACAGTGCCTCAAGAACCTCCTCTCCTCTTTCACCAAACACAGACACATCATCCACGCCGGATATGCCTTTGCAGGCTCTGGCTCATGGATGCTACAGGTGTGTACATATGTGGGTCTGATATTGAACTTTTGTGTGCATTTGTTCACTTTTTTCAAGATTTGTTGCCCCCAGCAGATTCATTTTAGGGGTCTCGGCTAGCAGACTCGTTCAGGAGAGATGAATGTACACAGCGTAAGAAATATTATTGAGTTTTGTAATAACTCTAGTGGATTATATAATTTTACAATTATATAGCATCATTTTTCAATTATATAGCATCATTTTTCAATTAAATAGCATCATTTTTCCATTATATAGCATCCTTTTTCAATGATATAGCATAATTTTTCAATTATATAGAATAATTTTTCAATTACATAGAATAATTTTTCAATTATATAGCATAATTTTTCAATTATGTAGCATACTTTTACAATTATATAGCAAAATTTTACAATTATATTGCACAATTTTACAATTATATAGCACAATTTTATAATTATAAATAAAAATTTACAATTATATTGCATAGATTTTCAATTATATAACATAATTTGGTCTGGATCTGCTCTCACTGTCCATGTATTTTGTCCTGGGTTTAAAATTAAGTAATAGTATTCATTACATTTAACTAAACAGGTCTCAGTATTATTTATTTAAACAATTGCTTTATATGCAATAGTTTATATGCAATAGATTTGTAAATTCAACATTGATATTTCACATTTTTAAAGGTTTTAAAATTATTAATAAATTCTTATATATATAATATATATAAGAATTTATTCTGATATAGGATTTTGCCTATAGATTAATTGACAAAGATTATTGGGAAGATGGGACACTATTAGCGTAGCTCTTCCAGTAACTACACTTTGGTAATTACATGCACATCCTGTAACTACACCTGAGGTAATTATACACACACACACACACACACACACACACACACACACACATATGTTTGTATGTCGATAACTTCCTAACATTTTGGTTGTGGAAGGCAATTAGGTATTGTGACAACTTCCCTGGAATTTTTAGTGTAATAGTTTTCCTATTAGAAATGTTCTCATAATTTTCCCTTCAGTCTGAAAGCTGTCTGCCTCTTGTTCCTTTCTTTGAACAGTTCATTCACATTTCCAGAAGATGCAAAATTCTCCATAAATGATACCTGTAAATACCCAAGATGGCTTCAGAGTTGACATTCCTTATGTCTGATTTATTCAGAGTGAATATATGGCCATTCCTGGTAAATTTATCACTATCCCTCATTCTCATGTTTTCATTAACATGTTGGCCTAGAAACTTTATCCTTGTTGCCTTTTTCAGTTTATCTCTCTTTGTATATGTGCACCCATGAAGTCTACTGCTTTTCCAGTCTATTTTGCTGTGGGTGAATTCTCCCTTGATGAGAATGAGTTAAAATTCATTCCTCTTTGAAAAAGATTCAGCCTTTTTATGATAGTTACAGTTATTCCATTGTTTCTGTCAAACTCCTGTTGTCTGCAATTTTGTAGTTTTTTTATCATTACTACTGTTATCCTAGATCCCTCCTATTGTAGTAGTGACTGCTATATAGTTACGGAAACCTTCAAAATCTTTAGTTACCATCACAAATCTTCTATCATTCCTGATAATAAGGACACACATAAATACATGCATAGTTAGATTTGGAGAAGTGTGTCTCTGTATGCATACAAAGATAAAGTGAGAGTAAGTGTACACTCAAAAACATTTTAAAAGTTTCTGAATACATTTTGCATCATCAGTCATTCAACAAAATCCAGTTCTTGACTGATAAATATAAACTCATCAAAATACTTGATATCTCGCACAAACAACACACGAAAAGCTTTACCATGGTTAGCAGTATCGAGGCACATCTATCCCAAAGGTCACCATCTCGGCCTGTCTTGCAGGATGGGACATTCTCAGTGGCAGACCTTATCGCAGCCTTCAGTGAATATGAGGTCCAGCGGGTCCTACATGCCTATGAGAACTGCATTACTATTGACATTCACTGTGCTTCTGAAGGCCATTGGTCAACACATTTCCTAGCCAAGGAATCATTTAGGTATGTGTTTTCAGCTCTGGTAATGTATTAAGACTATTGCATTTATTTATTGATAGTACTTTGCTAATTAATTAATATATTATTTATATATTTATTTATAGATTAAAAACACTTTGTGTAGCTCAAGACATGTTTATTCAACTTATCTGCATTCTCACAGACTTTTTCAGGAGTAATAATAAACAAATTGGCTGCTCATTATGTATCCCATTTCAGGGCCAGGTGCAATGTTACAGTAACTGAAAAACCTACTCGTTTAATCAGTTGGGTTCTGGTAGATATTCAAATTGATTTCCAACCTTTTAATATCATTAATTTCTTGTAATGTATATAAACAATTTTACTCTCCCCCCAGACTCGTCCAAATACGTTATTTATGCTCCATGTTCTACAATAATATTTGTTCTCCCTTGATCTAAAACCCTAAAATCTCCTAAATGCATTTTAACTCATCTACTACAAGGAATACAACCATCACATTCAAAACTTTAAATCTCGTTAATGCCTAATAATTAACTATATCTAAAGGTTAAAGAAGTAACTTATCCTACTCTGATACTAGCCACAGTCCCATACACAAAGAAATGTTAGTGACAACTTTGCTATTGGGGAGAGAGATTCTAGTAGTTAGTGGTGTCCTAGTGTGTATGCCTGATGCTTGCAGTTAGTTGCAAGTGATTAGGTGCCAACTGAACTACTATGTAACTTTGTACTTGACTCTGGGCATGAGTGTAAGTCGAACAGTGCTTGTATATTATTGTTGCTGAGCTCCTGAAGAAGTTGGTGGCCTTGATGGGATGCTGAGCAAACATGTTCTGAACATAAAAAAAAGTGTTTTTATTCAATAATATCCACACTCGTCAATGTGGTTTTAACATTTATTTATTTAATAGTTAGCATTATTGCTGTCATACTATTATTATCACCATTATTATTATTATTATTATTATTATTATTATTATTATTATTTTTATTAATAATAGTATTATTATTATTATGTTCATGATTGTAATTATTATTATTATTAAAATTAGTAAAAACATGAATAGTCTACTAATTTTATTATTATTATTACATTAATTATCAACACGTAATAGCATTATATTTTCTTAATCAATTAATGTAGCAACATGTAAAGTCATTCACTTGATCTGAAGTAAAAGTCTAGTAAATATTGTCTTAACATTACTTATTCCAGATCTAAAGAATTTGTAATCATAGTAGGTCAATAATTTCAAATAAGTTGTTGTTTACAGTCATACATAATTAGTAATATACTTTCTTTAGTTAATATATCATAATATTAATTGGAAATTGACTGACTCTCTGCTTCGCACTTGATTTACTTTAATAATCTTATTAAGAATGCACTAAAATATAAATATGCAAGTGTACAGGGCTTCATGAATTTAGTGTATATATCACTACACAGCAATCAGATTAGGGAAGCGCCAGTATGTTTTAGTCAGAAGGAGGTCCTAATTGAGGTCCTCCAGAGAAATCTGTTTTCCTTTCAGTCAACAGATGGTACCACTGCTATTTGTTGTTTGAATGGCTTATCAGCATATGATTAGGGCTAGCTCCAGACATATTATTTTAATGAGGAATTTGTGTTTTTGTGCACATGCCTTCTAGTCTGTCGCATTAGTACACTCGGGGTAATTCTCAACTCACAATCTGGAATTCCGGGTTCGAATCCCTTGCGAGTCACAAATTGTTGAGTGCATTTCCTAGCACCTAATGCAACTGTTCACCTAGTAATGCATAGAAATTTCGAGGAATTATTCCATTTCATGTGGGAGTGCATCGTTAGGGATGCCAGTAATTTGACCTGAGAAGGAGGGTGGCTCGATATAAGCTTAACATACATATACACTCTGGCTGAATATCCCCTGACACACTTTATTATTATTACGGTTAACATTTAATTAACAGTACTATGATTATGAAAGTATTATACTTTAATATTATTACGGTTAACATTAAATTAACAATAATAATACCGTAATAATACTTTAGTATTATTACGGTTAACATTAAATTAACAGTACTATGATTATGAAAGAAATGTCTCATTTAACAATGACAGTGAATATGAAAGAATATAAGAGACAGTGGTATTATTGTCTCAAGAAAATTTCATATTGTTTATATTTTGCCCTATTTAGAGAGATGTGATGAACGTGTGACTGACACTTCCAATTATTTTACTTGAGAAATAAAATATTTTTCAAATATATATAAATTCAAACAATTACTAAACTTATATATCTAGATATTAAAAGTTAAATTATATTATATGTGACTATTAATACAAGTTGCACATAAAGCCTGAGTACATTTCAAGAGTGTTTAGCTAGAGAAACTTCATTTTGCAACAGGTAAAGGGATTAAGTTTCGTTGATAAATTATTTAGCATTATTGATAAACATGAATATCAAATATCCTCTCTATGACTGGTGTTAAAGAGAAGTGAAAATACATTTTGTATTCTCTTCCCAGCATGATAAAACCATTAACCACAAAATAAATATTGAAAATAAAAATAAAAGGTTTGCCAATAATACCAGATTTTACCCAAATATTTTACAAAAACAGTGTCAAAAACATATTGGCGTTTCCCTAAATGGTTATCTATAATAAATTACACTGCAAGATGGATGACAATTCAAACATATCAGTTGTTCACATGATAGATAGATAGTTAGATAGATAGATAGATATAATAGGCTGCTGTGAAGTTTTGACTGAGTGGTTTGAAAAGAAGCAATTTAAGTAGTTCAGCAAAAATTTAATTTTGCAATGAAATTAATCGTTTTATAGAGACAAATTCATATAAAATTTACTTTAAAGTAAGACTCCAATATATTAGGTATTTTAATTATATTATCAGAATTTTTTATATTTGCAAGCTTCAAAATATAATGTACAGATAAATTATCAGTACATTATTATTATTATTACATTATTAGTAGGGAAAGTAACATAAAACAATTAACAATTTCTTACTAATTATTCACAAATCTATTTAAAAATTCTAAGACAATAATTTATATTGCAGCAAACTATGTCGTGTGACAGTGAACCCGGATGACAAGATTGAGATCACCCCCGGCATCTCAACTTTCGTTCACTACCTGTCACAGTTCCTCAGTAGCATACCCATTGAAGACCTACTCGAGCCCTCTGACATCGTGGGCAACATAAGATTCTCTCGCCCCACTCTCTACGTGTTCCCTGGTGGTCAAGGTGACTCCGCTCTCTTCGGCGTCAACGGTTTTAACATGCTTGTGGATGGTGGATATAACTACAAGGCATGTTTCTGGGATTTCACACGCCATCTTGATCGTCTCGATGCAGTCCTGATTACGAGACTTAACAGCTCTAATCTAATGGGCATCACTAATGTTATTCGTAGAAAAGCACTAAGTTCAGTGTATCCACAGATCGGACATACGTTTTGTAATGTTGCTGGTTCTTTAAAGTCCCCTGACGGTGACAAAGACAGAGACCCACTACTTATTAATGTTTGGGACGAAGGACACTTATTACGAGAAAATTTGAGACAAATTAGTTTAAAACCTCACTTGTGTTTCCGTGACAATGCCATGGAACCAATTAATTTATATCATAAGGTAGGGCATGGAAAACTTGATATGTATGTGATAAATCCTTCTAGAGACAGTAAAGAAGTGCGTGAGTTCATGCAAAGGTGGAACAATGAAGTGATTGCGTCTGACATGGGTTTTACCTCATACAAAATTGGTGATAGAGTTTTTCCTTGTCCACTAACAAATCTCACTTCTATATGTGCACTATTGATATGGCAACCAAATGACCCAAATGACACAATTACTAGAATTCTTTTCCCTGGAAGCACTCCCCAACACAAAATATTCGAAGGCCTTGAAAGGTTGCGGAATTTAGAATATCTCAAGTATCCAACATGCTCTGCAAAGTCCATTAAAGCAGCAGCAGAGGAACGCAAAAGCACAAAGACAATGGAGAAGTTATTAGCAGATACTAAACCAACGAAAACTGTAAGTCCATCCCCGCCAACACATAGACTAAGACGGGAAAGAGTTGATCGATCTATCAGTCGAGAAGAAAGAAGAAGGTTGAAGATTGAAAGATCAGAATATCAAGATAAAAAAATTATTGAGTCCAAAAAGGAAAGAAAAATTGAACGGAAGATTGAAAAGAAAACCATTAAACGAGATACAAAGAAAGAGAAGATCGAAGATCGTAAGGAAGAGAAAGTTACATCTGAACTTGAAGAAACCAAGGAGAAGATAAATGGCCATGACATTAACATTGATTCTTTAGAAACTACCGAAGACAAACAAATAATCTCAGAAGTCACTGAAACCAAAGAAGATCTTAGAATAGCAGAAGATGTTACAGACACAACAGTTACCAAGGAGTCTCCTAGACTAGATACTAAGATAACTGAGCCTACAATAGAGGCAGAAAAGTATATAGAACAAAAAGAAGTACCTAAAGAACCAATAGAAACTAGAGCAATTGACTTAGAAACGAGAATACAAGCAATAGAAGCTGAAATTAGAGACCTACCAGAGATTGAACCATTAGACGTTAAGGAAGCATCTTTGGTTTCCGCTGAATCTGGTGTTGTGACTGGTGAAGAGAGAGAATCCTCTCTTGAAATTGAACAGACTAAATATATTAAGGAAAAACCAAAGCCAAAACTAAAGAAAGTTAAAGAATCTGGTGCCCCTGACAGACCGAAAAAATACAGAAAGCCTAAGGTTGAATCACGCATAGATACAGGTGACAGGAGAACAAGAATTGAAGAAAGAACACAACGTATTGAAAGAAAAGTCAAAGACAGAAAAAGCCTTGAAAGAAAAGAAAGAAGAGAACGCAAAGTAGAAGCTGATGAAAAGAAAGAAGTTGAACCTTCTGACAAGAAACCAGAGGTAAAGGAAAGAAAAATCAGAAGAATAAAGAAGCCTGTTGATGAAGCAGGTACTCCAAAAAAATCTGTCACTCCTGAAGCGAAAAGACGTCTTAAGAAAATCACTGCACCAGAGAAGGAGGAGAAGGTGAATGGTGAAGTTAGACCACTCAAACCTGCAGTTCCTAAAGCACCACGTGCTGAAAGAAAAATGGTCTCTAAGACTACTCCAACCACTCCTCGGGAGGTCACGCACAAGAAACTAGTTGATGACAAAAACAGAGCGGCAAAGGCTGCTGAAGCAGCTAAGAAGGAATTGAAACCAAAGCCATCAGTACCAAGGCCTGCAGTCAAGCAGGCTGCACCTGGTAGAGCTCTGAAATCCAAAAAGATAGAGAAACCTCCTGTACCCAAGCCAGATGGACCAATGAAAAAGATCATTACTGGTGCAGCTGTGAAAGCTGGAGTTATGGCCGCAGCAGTGTCAGGCGTTGCTGTGGTGGAAGCCGCTGCTGATCGTGAAGATGTTGAAGAAATTGTTGCACCTTTGAAAGAGGCTGACCTAATGCTTGTTCCAGATCAAGATGAAGAGGACCGCATCTCTGACATTGCCAACATTCCAGGAGTACAGGAAATCAAGTTAGATGAAGATACATTTGAAATTATTGATAAACATCATCTTGAAGAGGAAGAGAAAGATTCTCTTATTCTGCATGAAGAAGGAGTTGTTGAACATGTTGAAAAAGAAGATGTAATTGAAGAAGTTGAAGAGCACTTAGAAGCTGAAAAGGACATTGAAGAAGAGGAGGAAGAGGAAGAAGAAGAAGAAGAAGAGGAAGAAGAGGAAGAGGAGGAGGAAGAAGAAGAAGAGATAGAGGAGAGAGAAGCAGAGGAAGATATTGAAAAGATAGGAAAAATTAAAGAAGAAATTAAAGTTGATGAAGAGGAGGAAGTCCTTGAAGATGAAGAGAAAGTAAGCATTGAAGAAAAAGAGGATGGGGCCGAAAAGATGAAAAAAGAAGAAGAAATTTATCATCTGGAAGAAAGAGACAGAGACATTGCAAAATTAGAAGAAAAACATGAAGCAGAAGATATTTATGATAAAATTGAGACAGAAGATAGAGATGCATATGCTACTTTACCCAGCAGTGCAAAACTCACAGAATATAAAGAAAAATATGAAGAAAAACCAATCCGTGGATTATTCACTGGATTTGCCATTCCCGCTGCTGAAACTAAAGAGGAAACCTATCCAAAAGAACCTAGCCCAAAGGCCAAGGAAGATATAATGATTCCAACATCACTCCCAGAAGCTATATTCAAACCTTCTGCTCCACCAATTCATCCAAGAGAGATAATAAAGACACCAGATGAAGTGGATGATCTTCCAATTCATGAGGAGGTAGAATCGAGTGAACATGATATCTATGATAAGGATATTGAGGAAGATCTTGATGTAGGCTCACCTATGATAGAAGTTAAGGGAGAATTACTGATCAGAGAAGAAATAATGGCTGAAAAGTTCGAAAAAGAGATTGCAAAGGAAATTTCAAAAGAAAGTGAAGTTGAAGAAGAGCTTGAGAAAGACGAAATGTCAAAGGAGGAAAAACCCTCAAAGTCATTAGATGAATTTGAGGCAAAATATGCAGAATTCAAAGCTACTGCTGAGACTGAAGTAATTAGAAAAGGTGAGATAATTACTGAAACTACTGAAATTGCCAAGAAATTAGACAAAGCTGAGCTTTTAAAAGACATTGCTCAAACCCTAGGAGTTACAGAAGAACCAATTAAGGTAATGCCTCCAGCGCCTATTCCTTGTGAAATGGAGGAGGTTCAAGAGTTGCCTGTTGTGAAAGATGAGAAACCAATGAAAGTGATTACAGCATATGAAGAACTTGAACTTGAAAAGGTTCCTGAAAAAGAAAAGAGGGACAAAGAAGAAAAAGAAATTGATGAACTAGAATTCGAAGACAAGGAAGTGGTCGAGGTCAGAGAGAAGGAGATTACTGAAATGATGGAAAAAGATCAGATTTATAAAGCAGAAACAATTGAGACAACAGTATTGGAGCAAAAGGAAGTTGTGGAAGAAACTGTAATTGAGGAGACTGTCGAAACAATTGATTCTGAAATTGAAGCAAAGATAACTACAGACAAATTTGTTGAGGAGGAAAAAATTATTACAAAAGAGGAAGTAATAAAGGAAGAAAAGGAAATTGTCGAAAAAGAAGTGAAGCGTGAAGAAGTAATTACAGAGAAAAGAGAAATTGTTGAAAAGGAAGAAACTAAGTTAGAAGAAAAAATCAAAGAAATAGAGGAGGTTTCTGAAAAAATTGCATTAGAAGAAATTCTCGTAAAAGATATTGTTAAAGAAGAAGAAACAAAACTTCAAGATGTTAAGCGAACTGAAATGATTCAAGAAATTGAAGAGAGAATACAGTTAGGCTGGACAAGAGAGGAAATTATTGAATATATTGAAATACAGGAAAGAAGTAGAGGAAAGATATTAGGATGGGCAAGGGAGGAAATTATTGAATATATTGACATTCAAGAAAGAAGGAGAGAGAAAGTTACCGAAGAAGAAATGGAAATTGTTGAAAAAGAAGTAATAAAAGATGAGAAAGTTTTAAAAGAAGAGAAGAAAGTAGAAGTTGTCAAGAAAGAAGAAAAGGTAGAAGAAGAAGAAGTTAAAGAAGTTTCAGAAGAAATTTCAGAAAAAGAAGTGCCTGAAAAAGATGTTGTTAAAGAAGAAATACAATTTGAAGATGTCAAACGAACTGAAATCATTAATGAAATTGAAGAAAGATTGCGATCAGGATATACAAGGGAGGAAATAATTGAATACATTGAAATACAAGAAAGAAAAAGAGGAAAGATATTAGGATGGGCAAGAGAGGAAATAATTGAATATATTGACACCTATGAAAGAAGGAGAGAAAGAATTGAAGATGAAATTAAAGAAGAAGAAAAGGAGATTATTGAAGAAGAAGAAGTTAAAGAAATTTCAGAAGAAATTTCAGAAAAAGAAGTGCCTGAAAAAGATGTTGTTAAAGAAGAAATACAATTTGAAGATGTCAAACGAACTGAAATCATTAATGAAATTGAAGAAAGATTGCGATCAGGATATACAAGGGAGGAAATAATCGAATACATTGAAATACAAGAAAGAAAAAGAGGAAAGATATTAGGATGGGCAAGAGAGGAAATAATTGAATATATTGACACCTATGAAAGAAGGAGAGAAATAATTGAAGATGAAATTAAGGAAGTAGAAGAAAAGAAGATTATTAAAGAAGAAGAAACCAAAGAAGAAAAAGAAATTGTAGCAGTAGAGCTAAAAAAGAAGGAAGAAATTCCAAGTGTAGAAAAGAAGGTGATTGCAGTAGAAGTTGCCAAAAAGGAAGAACCAAGAGACCTAGAGGTAATGGAGGAAGCAGTGGTTCTGAAAGACGAGGAGCTAAAGGCAGTCAAAGAAGTTACCAAAGTACAAGAAATTGTTGAAGAAATCCCTAAAACGGAAGTTCTTAAAAAAATTCATGTTGAAGATATAAAACAGAATGAACTAATTCAGGAAATTGAAGAAAGAATACAGTTGGGTTGGACTACGGAAGAAATTATTGAATATATTGAAATACAAGAAAGCAGAAGAGGGAAGATATTAGGATGGGCAAGAGAGGAAATTATTGAATATATTGAAATACAAGAAAGAAGAATAAGAGAGAAGGTTGAAGTTGAAGATACAGAAGAAAAGAAAATTTATGAAAAAGAAGCAAAGAAAGTTGAAGTTGCAGAAGAAGAGGAGAAAATTGCATTTATTACAGAAGAAAAAGAATCTCTTGAAAAAGAGGTGAAAGAAGTAGCCCAAGTAACACTGGGTGAAAAAGAAGTAAAGAAGTTACCAGAAATACCTAAAGAAGAGGAACCTTTTGAAATTCCAGAAAAAGAAGTAAAGAAAGTAGAATCTCCAGAAGAAGACAAGGATTTAGTCATGCTCCCTAAAGATGTAAAAGAAATTCCCAAAGAGGTTGCACCTGAAGCTATTGCTAAAGAAGAAAGAATACCAACAGAAGAAATCCCCAAAGAAAAAGAAGTAATTAAGGATCTTGTGACAGAGGAGATAAAAGGAAAGGAGGTGCTAATAGAGGATGTCAGTAAGACATTAGTCACAGAAACAGAAACAATCATAAGACAAAGAGAAATCATAGAGGAAATTGAAGAAAGAATACGAATTGGCTGGACAGTTGAAGAAATAATTGAATACATTGAAATACAAGAGACAAGAAGAGGAAAGATACTAGGGTGGACAAGAGAAGAAATTATTGAGTATGTTGAAACTCAAGAAAGGAGAATACAAGATAAAATTGAAGCTGAAATTACAGAAGAACTTCCTGACAAAGACATTCTTAAAGAAGAAAAAGTACCAGAAGAAGTCATTGTCAAAGAAAAAGAAGTTCCTGACAAAGACATTCTTAAAGAAGAAAAAGTAACAGAAGAAGTCATCACCAAAGAAAAGGAAGTTCCTGATAAAGACATTCTCAAAGAAGAAAAAGTACCAACAGAAGTCATTGTCAAAGAAAAAGAAGTTCCTGACAAAGACATTCTTAAAGAGGAAAAAGTACCAGAAGAAGTCATCACCAAAGAAAAGGAAGTTCCTGACAAAGACATTCTTAAAGAAGAAAAAGTACCAGAAGAAGTCATCACCAAAGAAAAGGAAGTTCCTGACAAAGACATTCTTAAAGAAGAGAAAGTACCAACAGAAGTCATTGTCAAAGAAAAAGAAGTTCCTGACAAAGACATTCTCAAAGAAGAAAAAGTACCAGAAGAAGTCATCACCAAAGAAAAGGAAGTTCCTGACAAAGACATTCTCAAAGAAGAAAAAGTACCAACAGAAGTCATTGTCAAAGAAAAAGAAGTTCCTGACAAAGACATTCTTAAAGAAGAAAAAGTACCAGAAGAAGTCATCACCAAAGAAAAGGAAGTTCCTGACAAAGACATTCTTAAAGAAGAAAAAGTACCAACAGAAGGCTTTGTCAAAGAAAAAGAAGTTCCTGACAAAGACATTCTTAAAGAAGAAAAAGTACCAGAAGAAGTCATCACCAAAGAAAAGGAAGTTCCTGACAAAGACATTCTCAAAGAAGAAAAAGTACCAGAAGAAGTCATCACCAGAGAAAAGGAAGTTCCTGACAAAGACATTCTCAAAGAAGAAAAAGTACCAACAGAAGTCATTGTCAAAGAAAAAGAAGTTCCTGACAAAGACATTCTTAAAGAAGAAAAAGTACCAGAAGAAGTCGTCACCAAAGAAAAGGAAGTTCCTGACAAAGACGTTCTTAAAGAAGAAAAAGTACCAACAGAAGTCATTGTCAAAGAAAAAGAAGTTCCTGATAAAGACATTCTTAAAGAAGAAAAAGTACCAGAAGAAGTCATCACCAAAGAAAAGGAAGTTCCTGACAAAGACATTCTTAAAGAAGAAAAAGTACCAACAGAAGTCATTGTCAAAGAAAAAGAAGTTCCTGATAAAGACATTCTTAAAGAAGAAAAAGTACCAGAAGAAGTCATTGTCAAAGAAAAAGAAGTTCCTGACAAAGACATTCTTGAAGAAGTAAAAGTGCCAACAGATGTCATTGCAAAAGAAAAGGAAGTAAAACAAGAAATTGTGCCTGTGGAGTTAAAAGAAACTAAGGAGGAAATAGAAGATGTCAAAAAGACGATGGTCACAGAAACAGAGACAACAGTAAAGCGAAGAGAAATCATTGAAGAAATTGAAGAGAGAATTAGATTACGCTGGACAGTCGAGGAAATAATTGAATACATTGAAATTCAAGAGGCAAGAAGAGGAAAAATACTTGGCTGGACAAGGGAGGAAATTATTGAGTATATTGAAACTCAAGAAAAACGAAGAGAAAGAGTTGAAGTGGAAGCTGAGGAAGAAAGTGAAGTTGAGAAAGAATTAAAGAAAGTAGATGTAATTCTACTTGAAGAGGCAGAAATTCACAAAGAAGTGAAGGCACCTGAGGTTACCCTAGAACAAAAAGAACCAGAGAAGGTTGTAGTTGATGAAATGAAGGTAAAGAAAGCAGATGAAGTCACAGAAGAAAAGGAACCTATTGACACAGAATTCAAGAAAGATGAGAAACTCCCAGAAGAAAAGATTTCAGAAGAAGCAAAGAAAGTTGAAGTTTCACCAGAAGAAGAAGAAGTAAAGAAGGTAGATGAGCGTCCAAAAGAAGAAAAAGAAATTATTGAAGAAATTAAGCAAAAAGAAGTACCTGACATTGTTATTGTTAAAGAAGAAAAGGTACCAATAGAAGTCATCACTAAAGAGAAAGAAGTACCTGACAAAGATATTGTTAAAGAAGAAGAAGTACCAACAGAAGTCATCACTAAAGAACAGGAAGTACTTGACAAAGATATTGTTAAAGAAGAAAAAGTACCAACAGAAGTCATTGTCAAAGAAAAAGAAGTTCCTGACAAAGACATTCTTAAAGAAGAAAAAGTACCAGAAGAAGTCATCACCAAAGAAAAGGAAGTTCCTGACAAAGTCATTCTTCAAGAAGAAAAAGTACCAACAGAAGTCATCACCAAAGAAAAGGAAGTTCCCGACAAAGAAATTCTTAAAGAAGAAAAAGTACCAACAGAAGTCATTGTCAAAGAAAAAGAAGTCCCTGACAAAGACATTCTAAAAGAAGAAAAAGTACCAGAAGAAGTCATTGTCAAAGAAAAAGAAGTTCCTGACAAAGACATTCTTAAAGAAGAAAAAGTACCAGAAGAAGTCATTGTCAAAGAAAAGGAAGTTCCTGACAAAGACATTCTTAAAGAAGAAAAAGTACCAGAAGAAGTCATTGTCAAAGAAAAAGAAGTCCCTGACAAAGACATTCTTAAAGAAGATAAAGTACCAGAAGAAGTCATCACCAAAGAAAAGGAAGTTCCTGACAAAGATATTCTTAAAGAAGAAAAAGTACCAACAGAAGTCATTGCCAAAGAAAAGGAAGTTCCTGACAAAGACATTCTTAAAGAAGAAAAAGTACCAGAAGAAGTCATCATCAAGGAAAAAGAAGTTCCCGACAAGGACATTCTTGAAGAAGTAAAAGTGCCAACAGATGTCATTGCAAGAGAAAAGGAAGTAAGACAAGAAATTGTGCCTGTGGAGTTAAAAGAAACTAAGGCTGAAGTAGAAGATGTCAAAAAGACGATGGTCACTGAAACAGAGACAACAGTAAAGCGAAGAGAAATCATTGAAGAAATTGAAGAGAGAATTAGATTACGCTGGACAGTCGAGGAAATAATTGAATACATTGAAATTCAAGAGGCAAGAAGAGGAAAAATACTTGGCTGGACAAGGGAGGAAATTATTGAGTATATTGAAACTCAAGAAAAACGACGAGAAAGAGTTGAAGTGGAAGCTGAGGAGGAAAGTGAAGTTGAGAAAGAATTAAAGAAAGTAGATGTAATTCTACTTGAAGAGGCAGAAATTCACAAAGAAGTGAAGGCACCTGAGGTTACCCTAGAACAAAAAGAACCAGAGAAGGTTGTAGTTGATGAAATGAAGGTAAAGAAAGCAGATGAAGTCACAGAAGAAAAGGAACCTATTGACACAGAATTCAAGAAAGATGAGAAACTCCCAGAAGAAAAGATTTCAGAAGAAGCAAAGAAAGTTGAAGTTTCACCGGAAGAAGAAGTAAAGAAGGTAGATGAGCTTCCTAAAGAAGAAAAAGAAATTATTGAAGAAATTAAGCAAAAAGAAGTACCTGACATTGTTATTGTTAAAGAAGAAAAGGTACCAACAGCAGTCATCACTAAAGAAAAGGAAGTACCTGACAAAGATATTGTTAAAGGAGAAAAAGTACCAACAGAAGTCATCACTAAGGAACAGGAAGTACCTGACAAAGATATTGTTAAAGAAGAAAAAGTACCAACAGAAGTCATCACTGAAGAAAAAGAAACTCCTGACAAAGACATTGTTAAAGAAGTGAAAGTACCAACTAAAGAAATCACAGAAGAAATAGTTAGTAAGGAGATTGTAACACAGGAGAGAGTAGAAAAGGAGGAAGCAATAGAGGATGTCAGTAAGAGAATTGTCACAGAAACAGAGATAGTTGTAAAGCGAAGAGAAATTCTAGAGGAAATTGAAGAGAGAATACAATTAGGCTGGACAGTTGAAGAAATTATCGAATACATTGAAATTCAAGAGACAAGAAGAGGAAAGATACTATGCTGGACAAGGGAGCAAATTGTCGAGTTTATTGAAACACAAGAATTGAAAAGACAAGAGATTATTGAAGCTGAAGAAGTAGAGAAAAAAGATGAAATTCCAAAAGAGGAATTAGAAATACCTGAAAAGGAAATAAAGAAAGCTGATCTCTCGCCAGAGGAAAAAGAAGTAAAGAAAATTGATGAAGTTCTCAAAGAAGAAAAAGAACTCCCTGAAAAAGAGTTAAAGAAATTATATGAACTTCCAAAGGAAGAAAAACTAGTTCCTGGAGTTGAAGTAAAGATAGTTGAACCTATACTGGTAGAAAAAGAAATCAAGAAAGAAGATGAAGTTTCCAAAGATATTAAAGAATTTGTTGAAGAAATCACACGAAAGGAAGTTCCCGATATTAAAAAAGAAAAGGAACCAACAGAAGAAATCCCGAAAGAAAAAGCAGAAATAAAGGAAATGGTAACTGAGGAATTAGTAGAAAAGGTGGAGATAATAAAGGATGCAGGTGAGACTTTATTCACAGAAACAGAGGCAATTGTAAAACGAAGAGAAATTATTGAAGAAATTGAAGAGAGAATACAATTAGGCTGGACAATTGAGGAAATTATTGAATACATTGAAATACAAGAGACAAGAAGAGGAAAGATATTAGGCTGGTCAAGAGAGGAAATTATTGAGTATATTGAAACACAAGAAAGAAAACGACGAGAGACAATGGAAATTAGAGAAGAAAAAGAAGTCATGAAAATACATGAAGTAACCTTAGAAGAAAAAGAAATAGCAGAGAAAGAAGTTATTAAAGAAGTAAAAGAGCCTATTCCCAAGGAGGAAAAAGAAATTCCTGAACCAGAAATAAGTAAAGAAGTTACTTTAGAAGAAAAAGAGGCTGAAATTACCAAAGACATTAAAGATATTTCAGAAGAAAGTGATATTTCTGAAAGAGACGTTATTCAAGAAGCTAAAGCACCAAGTCAGTACATACCCAGAGAAAGAGAAATTGTGTCAGACAGGGAAGAAAAGGAAGAGAGAGTTGAAGATGTTACAAAAACTTTAGTCACTGAAATAGAGACACTTGTAAAGCGAACAGAAATCATTGAAGAAATTGAGGAAAGAATACGGTTAGGCTGGACTATTGAAGAAATAATTGAATATATTCAAACACAGGAAATAAAAAGAGGCAAAATATTAGCCTGGACAAGAGAGGAAATTATTGAATATATCGAAACACATAAGAAATTGAAGAAAGATGAAATCACAGAAAAGGAAGCTGAACTTACAGAAGAAGAAGTTAAGAAGGAAGCCGCCATTCCAGTTAGAAAAGAAGTCAAGGAAGTAGAGGAGGTTTCCCCTGAAGAAAAACTAGTTGTGAAACCAGAACATATACCAATAGAAAAAATAGAAGAAAAAGAAATTACCCCAAAAGAAAAGAAAATTACACCAGAAGAAAAAGAAGTTACCCCAACAGAAAAAGAAGTAAAGAAAGTAGTCACACCAGAAGAAAAAGAAGTAAAGAAAGAAGTCACACCAGAAGAAAAAGAAGTAAAGAAAGTAGTCACACCAGAAGAAAAAGAAGTAAAGAAAGAAGTCACACCAGAAGAAAAAGAAATAAAGAAAGAAGTCACACCAGAAGAAAAAGAAATAAAGAAAGAAGTGACACCAGAAGAAAAGGAGATTAAAAAAGAAATTACCCCAAAAGACAAAGAAGTAGTAACAGAAGAAAAAGAGGATAAGAAAGAAGTTACAGCAGTAGACAAGGAAGGCTTTACACTTGAGTTAAAGAAAGTTATTTCACCATTAGAAGAAGTAAAGAAAGAAATTTCACCATTAGAAGAAGTAAAGAAAGAAATTTCACCAAAAGAAGAAGTAGAGAAAGAAATTTCACCAAAAGAAGAAGTAAAGAAAGAAATTTCACCAAAAGAAGTAGAGAAAGAAATTTCACCAAAAGAAGAAGTAAAGAAAGAAATTTCACCAAAAGAAGAAGTAAAGAAAGAAATTTCACCAAAAGAAGAAGTAGAGAAAGAAATTTCACCAAAAGAAGAAGTAAAGAAAGAAATTTCACCAAAAGAAGAAGTAAAGAAAGAAATTTCACCATTAGAAGAAGTAAAGAAAGAAATTTCACCAAAAGAAGAAGTAGAGAAAGAAATTTCACCAAAAGAAGAAGTAAAGAAAGAAATTTCACCCAAAGAAGAAGTAAAGAAAGAAATTTCACCAAAAGAAGAAGTAAAGAAAGAAATTTCACCCAAAGAAGAAGTAAAGAAAGAAATTTCACCAAAAGAAGAAGTAAAGAAAGAAATTTCACCAAAAGAAGAAGTAGAGAAAGAAATTTTACCCAAAGAAGAATTAAAGAAAGAAATTTCACCAAAAGAAGAAGTAGCGAAAGAAATTTCACCATTAGAAGAAGTAAAGAAAGAAATTTCACCAAAAGAAGAAGTAGAGAAAGAAATTTCACCAAAAGAAGAAGTAAAGAAAGAAATTTCACCCAAAGAAGAAGTAAAGAAAGAAATTTCACCAAAAGAAGAAGTAGCAAAAGAAATTTCACCAAAAGAAGAAGTAAAGAAAGAAATGTCACCAAAAGAAGAAGTAAAGAAAGAAATTTCACCAAAAGAAGAAATAAAGAAAGAAATTTCACCAAAAGAAGAAGTAAAGAAAGAAATTTCACCAAAAGAAGAAGTAGAGAAAGAAATTTCACCAAAAGAAGAAGTAAAGAAAGAAATTTCACCCAAAGAAGAAGTAAAGAAAGAAATTTCACCAAAAGAAGAAGTAAAGAAAGAAATTTCACCATTAGAAGAAGTAAAGAAAGAAATTTCACCAAAAGAAGAAGTAAAGAAAGAAATTTCACCAAAAGAAGAAGTAAAGAAAGAAATTTCACCCAAAGAAGAAGTAGAGAAAGAAATTTCACCCAAAGAAGATGTAGAGAAAGAAATTTCACCCAAAGAAGAAGTAAAGAAAGAAATTTCACCCAAAGAAGAAGTAAAGAAAGAAATTTCACCAAAAGAAGAAGTAAAGAAAGAAATTTCACCAAAAGAAGAAGTAAAGAAAGAAATTTCACCCAAAGAAGAAGTAAAGAAAGAAATTTCACCAAAAGAAGAAGTAAAGAAAGAAATTTCACCAAAAGAAGAAGTAAAGAAAGAAATTTCACCAAAAGAAGAAGTAAAGAAAGAAATTTCACCAAAGAAGAAGTAAAGAAAGAAATTTCACCATTAGAAGAAGTTAAGAAAGAAATTTCACCCAAAGAAGAAGTAAAGAAAGAAATTTCACCAAAAGAAGAAGTAGAGAAAGAAATTTCACCTAAAGAAGAAGTAAAGAAAGAAATTTCACCAAAAGAAGAAGTAGAGAAAGAAATTTCACCAAAAGAAGAAGTAAAGAAAGAAATTTCACCAAAAGAAGAAGTAAAGAAAGAAATTTCACCAAAAGAAGAAGTAGAGAAAGAAATTTCACCATTAGAAGAAGTAAAGAAAGAAATTTCACCATTAGAAGAAGTAAAGAAAGAAATTTCACCAAAAGAAGAAGTAAAGAAAGAAATTTCACCAAAAGAAGAAGTAAAGAAAGAAATTTCACCCAAAGAAGAAGTAGAGAAAGAAATTTCACCCAAAGAAGAAGTAGAGAAAGAAATTTCACCCAAAGAAGAAGTAAAGAAAGAAATTTCACCATTAGAAGAAGTAAAGAAAGAAATTTCACCATTAGAAGAAGTTAAGAAAGAAATTTCACCCAAAGAAGAAGTAAAGAAAGAAATTTCACCAAAAGAAGAAGTAGAGAAAGAAATTTCCCCTAAAAAAGAAGTAAAGAAAGAAATTTCACCAAAAGAAGAAGTAAAGAAAGAAATTTCACCAAAAGAAGAAGTAGAGAAAGAAATTTCACCTAAAGAAGAAGTAAAGAAAGAAATTTCACCAAAAGAAGAAGTAAAGAAAGAAATTTCACCTAAAGAAGAAGTAGAGAAAGAAATTTCACCTAAAGAAGAAGTAAAGAAAGAAATTTCACCAAAAGAAGAAGTAGAGAAAGAAATTTCACCTAAAGAAGAAGTAAAGAAAGAAATTTCACCAAAAGAAGAAGAAAAGAAAGAAATTTCACCTAAAGAAGAAGTAGAGAAAGAAATTTCACCATTAGAAGAAGTTAAGAAAGAAATTTCACCATTAGAAGAAGTAAAGAAAGAAATTTCACCAAAAGAAGAAGTAGAGAAAGAAATTTCACCTAAAGAAGAAGTAAAGAAAGAAATTTCACCAAAAGAAGAAGTAAAGAAAGAAATTTCACCATTAGAAGAAGTAAAGAAAGAAATTTCACCTAAAGAAGAAGTAAAGAAAGAAATTTCACCATTAGAAGAAGTAAAGAAAGAAATGTCACCATTAGAAGAAGTAAAGAAAGAAATTTCACCATTAGAAGAAGTAAAGAAAGAAATTTCACCAAAAGAAGAAGTACAGAGAGAAATTTCACCAAAAGAAGAAGTAAAGAAAGAAATTTCAACAAAAGAAGAAGTAAAGAAAGAAATTTCACCATTAGAAGAAGTAAAGAAAGAAATTTCACCATTAGAAGAAGTACAGAAAGAAATTTCACCATTAGAAGAAGTAAGGAAAGAAATTTCACCATTAGAAGAATTAAAGAAAGAAATTTCACCAAAAGAAGAAGTAAAGAAAGAAATTTCACCAAAAGAAGAAGTAAAGAAAGAAATTTCACCATTAAAAGAAGTAAAGAAAGAAATTTCACCAAAAGAAGAAGTAAAGAAAGAAATTTCACCACTAGAAGAAGTAAAGAAAGAGGTTGAACTGGAAATAAAAGAAATTGAAAAGAAAATTATACCAGAAGAGAAAGAGACTAAAGCAGAAGTTACAACAACAGAGAAAGATGTTAGGAAAGAAGTTACCCCAGAAGAAATCAAGAAGGAAGTTACACTAGAAGAAAAAGAAATCAAGGAAGCAGTTACTCCAAAAGAAAAAGTCGAACTAAAAGAAAAAGAATCAACACCAGAAGAAAAGGAATTCATGATAAAAATGTCACCAGAAAAAGAAATTCCTGAAGCTGTTACAGAAGAAATTAGTGTAAAGGAAGTGGAAGCTGAAATGATTTCGGTAACAAAGAAAATTGAAGAAGATTTGGAGGTTAAGAAGGAGGAAATTGTTGAAACATACAAAAGAGAGATTGCAATGGAGGTAACAGAAGCAAGCATAACAGAAATTCCAGATGAAACTCGAGAAGAAGATGGCAAGATAGTGGAGAAAGTTCCTGTGTCTCCCAAAAGTGACTTATATATTAGTACAATTAGTGATATTAGTACCAAAGATAAAATAGGCCTTATAACTACTGAAGTAAGTCTTACAGAAGCTCCAGTTTCTCCAAAGAGTGACGTCTATGTTAGTGCAAAGAGTGATGTAAGTGCAAAGGAGGACATCATAACAATTGATGTAACTAAAAAACCAACTGAGGAAGCACCAATTTCTCCAAAGAGTGACGTCTCTGTTAGTATAAAGAGTGATGTCAGTTCGAAGGAAGCCAAGGAGGATATCATAACAATTGATGTAACTAAAAAACCAACTGAGGAAGCACCAATTTCTCCAAAGAGTGATGTCTCTGTTAGTGTAAAGAGTGATGTCAGTGCAAAGGAGGATATCTTAACAATTGATATAACTAAGATACCAGTCGAGGAAGCACCAATTTCTCCAAAGAGTGACATCTCTGTTAGCGTGAAGAGTGATGTCAGTTCGAAGGAAGCCAAGGAAGACATCTTAACAATTGACGTAACTAAAGAACAAACTGAGGAAGCACCAATTTCTCCAAAGAGTGACGTCTCTGTTAGTGTAAAGAGTGATGTCAGTGCAAAGGAGGATATCTTAACAATTGATGTAACTAAGAAACCAATTGAGGAAGCCCCAGTCTCTCCAAAGAGTGATGTATCTGTTAGTGTAAAGAGTGATGTCAGTGCAAAGGAAGATATCTTAACAATTGATGTAACTAAGAAACCATCAGAGGAAGCACCAATTTCTCCAAAGAGTGACGTCTCTGTTAGTGTGAAGAGTGATGTCAGTGCAAAGGAGGATATCTTAACAATAGATGTAACTAAGAAACCAGCTGAAGAAACACCAATTTCTCCGAAGAGTGACATCTCTGTTAGTGTAAAGAGTGATGTCAGTTTGAAGGAAGCAAAGGAGGACATCGTATTAATTGATGTAACTAAGGAACCAACTGAAGAAGCACCAATTTCTCCAAAGAGTGACATCTCTGTTAGTGTAAAGAGTGATGTCAGTTTGAAGGAAGCAAAGGAGGACATCGTATTAATTGATGTAACTAAGAAACCAACTGAGGAAGCACCAATTTCTCCAAAGAGTGACGTCTCTGTTAGTGTAAAGAGTGATGTCAGTGCAAAGGAGGATATCTTAACAATTGATGTAACAAAGAAACCGACTGAGGAAGCACCAATTTCTCCAAAGAGTGACATCTCTCTTAGTGGGAAGAGTGATGTCAGTTCAAAAGAAGCTAAGGAGGACATCATAACAATTGATGTAACTAAGAAGCCAATTGAGGAAGCACCAATTTCTCCAAAGAGTGACGTCTCTGTTAGTGAAAAGAGTGATGTCAGTTCGAAGGAAGCCAAGGAGGACATCATAACAATTGATGTAACTAAGAAACCAATTGAGGAAGCGCCAATTTCTCCAAAGAGTGACGTCTCTGTTAGTGTGAAGAGTGATGTCAGTGCAAAGGAGGACATCCTAAAAATTGATGTAACTAAGAAACCAACAGAGGAAGCACCAATTTCTCCAAAGAGTGACATCTCTGTTAGTGCAAAGAGTGATGTCAGCACAAAGGAGGACATCCTAAAAATTGATGTAACTAAGAAACCAACAGAGGAAGCACCAATTTCTCCAAAGAGTGACATCTCTGTGAGTGTAAAGAGTGATGTCAGTTTGAAGGAAGCAAAGGAGGACATCTTATTACTTGATGTAACTAAGAAACCAATTGAGGAAGCACCAATTTCTCCAAAGAGTGACGTCTCTGTTAGTGAGAAGAGTGATGTCAGTGCAAAAGATGATATCCTAGCAATTGATATAACTAAGAAACCAACTGAGGAAGCACCAGTTTCTCCAAAGAGTGATGTCTCTGTTAGCGTGAAGAGTGATGTCAGTTCGAAAGAAGCTAAAGAAGAAATCTTAACAATTGATGTAACTAAGAAACCAGCTGAGGAAGCACCAATCTCTCCAAAGAGTGACGTCTCTGTTAGTGCAAAGAGTGACGTCAGTGCAGAGGAGGATATCTTAACAATTGAAGTAACTAAGAAACCAACTGAGGAAGCACCAATTTCTCCAAAGAGCGACGTCTCTGTTAGTGTGAAGAGTGATGTCAGTTTGAAGGAAGCCAAGGAGGATATCATAACAATTGATGTAACTAAGAAACCAACGGAGGAAGCACCAATTTCTCCAAAGAGTGACATCTCTGTTAGTGTGAAGAGTGATGTTAGTTCAAAGGAAGCCAAGGAAGACATCTTAACAATTGACGTAACTAAAATACCAATTGAGGAAGCACCAATTTCTCCAAAGAGTGACATCTCTGTTAGTGTGAAGAGTGATGTTAGTTCAAAGGAAGCCAAGGAAGACATCTTAACAATTGATGTAACTAAGAAACCAACTGAGGAAGCACCAATTTCTCCAAAGAGTGACATCTCTGTTAGTGCAAAGAGTGATGTCAGTGCAAAGGAGGATATCCTAGCAATTGACGTAACTAAGAAACCAGCTGAGGAAGCACCAATCTCTCCAACAAGTGACATCTCTGTTAGTGCAAAGAGTGATGTCAGTACAAAGGAGGACATCTTAACAATTGATGTAACTAAGAAACCAACCGAGGAAGCACCAATTTCTCCAAAGAGTGACGTCTCTGTTAGTGTGAAGAGTGATGTTAGTTTGAAGGAAGCCAAGGAGGATATCATAACAATTGATGTAACTAAGAAAATAACTGAGGAAGCACCGATTTCTCCAAAGAGTGACGTCTCTCTTAGTGTGAAGAGTGATGTAAGTGCAAAGGAGGATATCTTAACAATTGATGTAACTAAGAAACCATCGGAAGAAGCACCAATTTCTCCAAAGAGTGACATCTCTGTTAGTGCAAAGAGTGACATCTCTGTTAGTGTAAAGAGTGATGTCAGTGCAAAGGAGGATATCCTAGCAATTGACGTAACTAAGAAACCAGCTGAGGAAGCACCAATCTCTCCAAAAAGTGACATCTCTGTTAGTGCAAAGAGTGATGTCAGTACAAAGGAGGACATCTTAACAATTGATGTAACTAAGAAACCAACTGAGGCAGCACAAATTTCTCCAAAGAGTGACGTCTCTGTTAGTGTAAAGAGTGATGTCAGTTCGAAGGAAGCCAAGGAAGACATCTTAAAAATTGATGTAGCTAAAAAGCCAATTGAAGAAGCCCCAATTTCTCCAAAGAGTGACATCTCTGTTAGTTCAAAGAGTGAAGTCAGTGCAAAGGAGGATATCCTAGCAATTGATGTAACTAAGAAACCAGCTGAGGCAGCACCAATTTCTCCAAAGAGTGATATCTCTGTTAGTATAAAGAGTGATGTCAGTTCGAAGGAAGCCAAGGAGGATATCTTATTAATTGATGTATCTAAGAAACCATCTGAGGAAGCACCAATTTCTCCAAAGAGTGACATCTCTGTTAGTGTGAAGAGTGATGTCAGTGCAAAGGAGGATATCCTAGCAATTGATGTAAGTAAGAAACCTATGGAAGAAGCACAAATTTCTCCAAAGAGTGACATCTCTATTAGTGGAAAGAGTGATGTCAGTGCAAAGGAGGATATCCTAGCAATTGATGTAACTAAGAAACCAACAGAGGAAACACCAATTTCTCCAAAGAGTGACATCTCTCTAAGTGTGAAGAGTGATGTCAGTTCGAAGGAAGCCAAGGAAGAAATCTTAACAATTGATGTAACTAAGAAACCATCTGAGGAAGCACCGATTTCCCCAAAGAGCGACATCTCTCTTAGTGTGAAGAGTGATGTCAGTGCAAAAGAGGATATCTTAACAATTGATGTATCTAAAAAACCAACTGAGGAAGCACCAATTTCTCCAAAGAGTGACGTCTCTGTTAGTGTAAAGAGTGATGTCATTGCAATGGAGGATATATTAACAATTGATGTAACTAAAAAAACAACGGAAGAAGCACCAATTTCTCCGAAGAGTGACGTCTCTATTAGTAAAAAGAGTGATGTCAGTTCGAAGGAAGCCAAGGAAGATATCTTAACAATTGATGTAACTAAGAAACCAACTGAGGAAGCACCGACGTCTCCAAAGAGTGACATCTCTGTTAGTGTGAAGAGTGATGTCAGTTCAAAGGAAGCCAAGGAAGAAATTATAACAATTGATGTAACTAAGAAACCAACTGAAGAAGCACCAATTTCTCCAAAGAGTGACATCTCTGTTAGTGTAAAGAGTGATGTCAGTTCAAAGGAAGCCAAGGAGGACATCTTATTAATTGATATAACTAAGAAACCAACTGAGGAAGCACCAATTTCTCCAAAGAGTGACATCTCTGTTAGTGTAAAGAGTGATGTCAGTTCGAAGGAAGCCAAGGAGGACATCTTATTAATTGATTTAAGTAAGAAACCAACTGAGGAAGCACCAATTTCTCCAAAGAGTGACATCTCTATTAGTGCAAAGAGTGATGTCAGTGCAAAGGAGGACATCGTATTAATTGATGTAACTAAGAAACCAACTGAAGAAGCACCAATTTCTCCAAAGAGTGACATCTCTGTTAGTGTAAAGAGTGATGTCAGTTCAAAGGAAGCCAAGGAGGACATCTTATTAATTGATATAACTAAGAAACCAACTGAGGAAGCACCAATTTCTCCAAAGAGTGACATCTCTGTTAGTGCAAAGAGTGATGTCAGTTCGAAGGAAGCCAAGGAGGACATCATAACAATTGATGTAACTAAGAAACCAATTGAGGAAGCACCAATTTCTCCAAAGAGTGACGTTTCTGTTAGTGTGAAGAGTGATGTCAGTGCAAAGGAGGACATCCTAAAAATTGATGTAACTAAGAAACCAACAGAGGAAGCACCAATTTCTCCAAAGAGTGACATCTCTGTTAGTGCAAAGAGTGATATCAGCACAAAGGAGGACATCCTAAAAATTGATGTAACTAAGAAACCAACAGAGGAAGCACCAATTTCTCCAAAGAGTGACATCTCTGTGAGTGTAAAGAGTGATGTCAGTTTGAAGGAAGCAAAGGAGGACATCTTATTACTTGATGTAACTAAGAAACCAATTGAGGAAGCACCAATTTCTCCAAAGAGTGACGTCTCTGTTAGTGTGAAGAGTGATGTCAGTGCAAAAGATGATATCCTAGCAATTGATGTAACTAAGAAACCAACTGAGGAAGCACCAGTTTCTCCAAAGAGTGATGTCTCTGTTAGTGTGAAGAGTGATGTCAGTTCGAAAGAATCTAAAGAAGAAATCTTAACAATTGATGTAACTAAGAAACCAGCTGAGGAAGCACCAATCTCTCCAAAGAGTGACGTCTCTGTTAGTGCAAAGAGTGACGTCAGTGCAAAGGAGGATATCTTAACAATTGAAGTAACTAAGAAACCAACTGAGGAAGCACCAATTTCTCCAAAGAGTGACGTCTCTGTTAGTGCAAAGAGTGATGTCAGTGCAAAGGAGGATATCTTAACAATTGAAGTAACTAAGAAACCAACTGAGGAAGCACCAATTTCTCCAAAGAGCGACGTCTCTGTTAGTGTGAAGAGTGATGTCAGTTTGAAGGAAGCCAAGGAGGATATCATAACAATTGATGTAACTAAGAAACCAACGGAGGAAGCACCAATTTCTCCAAAGAGTGACATCTCTGTTAGTGTGAAGAGTGATGTTAGTTCAAAGGAAGCCAAGGAAGACATCTTAACAATTGATATAACTAAAATACCAATTGAGGAAGCACCAATTTCTCCAAAGAGTGACATTTCTGTTAGTGTGAAGAGTGATGTTAGTTCAAAGGAAGCCAAGGAAGACATCTTAACAATTGATGTAACTAAGAAACCAACTGAGGAAGCACCAATTTCTCCAAAGAGTGACATCTCTGTTAGTGCAAAGAGTGATGTCAGTGCAAAGGAGGACATCTTACCAATTGATGTAACTAAAAAAATAATAGATGAAGCACCAATTTCTCCAAAGAGTGACATCTCTGTTAGTGTAAAGAGTGATGTCAGTGCAAAGGAAGATATCCTAGCAATTGACGTAACAAAGAAACCAGCTGAGGAAGCACCAATCTCTCCAACAAGTGACATCTCTGTTAGTGCAAAGAGTGATGTCAGTACAAAGGAGGACATCTTAACAATTGATGTAACTAAGAAACCAGCTGAAGAAGCACCGATTTCTCCAAAGAGTGACGTCTCTGTTAGTGTGAAGAGTGATGTCAGTTCGAAGGAAGCGAAGGAAGACATCTTAACAATTGATGTAGCTAAGAAACCAACCGAGGAAGCACCAATTTCTCCAAAGAGTGACGTCTCTGTTAGTGTGAAGAGTGATGTTAGTTTGAAGGAAGCCAAGGAGGATATCATAACAATTGATGTAACTAAGAAACCAACTGAGGCAGCACAAATTTCTCCAAAGAGTGACGTCTCTGTTAGTGTAAAGAGTGATGTTATTTCGAAGGAAGCCAAGGAAGACATCTTAAAAATTGATGTAGCTAAAAAGCCAATTGAAGAAGCCCCAATTTCTCCAAAGAGTGACATCTCTGTTAGTTCAAAGAGTGAAGTCAGTGCAAAGGAGGATATCCTAGCAATTGATGTAACTAAGAAACCAGCTGAGGCAGCACCAATTTCTCCAAAGAGTGATATCTCTGTTAGTATAAAGAGTGATGTCAGTTCGAAGGAAGCCAAGGAGGATATCTTATTAATTGATGTATCTAAGAAACCATCTGAGGAAGCACCAATTTCTCCAAAGAGTGACATCTCTGTTAGTGTGAAGAGTGATGTCAGTGCAAAGGAGGATATCCTAGCAATTGATGTAAGTAAGAAACCTATGGAAGAAGCACAAATTTCTCCAAAGAGTGACATCTCTATTAGTGGAAAGAGCGATGTCAGTGCAAAGGAGGATATCCTAGCAATTGATGTAACTAAGAAACCAACAGAGGAAACACCAATTTCTCCAAAGAGTGACATCTCTCTAAGTGTGAAGAGTGATGTCAGTTCGAAGGAAGCCAAGGAAGAAATCTTAACAATTGATGTAACTAAGAAACCATCTGAGGAAGCACCGATTTCCCCAAAGAGCGACGTCTCTGTTAGTGTAAAGAGTGATGTCAGTTCAAAGGAAGCCAAGGAAGAAATTATAACAATTGATGTAACTAAGAAACCAACTGACGAAGCACCAATTTCTCCAAAGAGTGACATCTCTGTTAGTGTAAAGAGTGATGTCAGTTCAAAGGAAGCCAAGGAGGACATCTTATTAATTGATATAACTAAGAAACCAACTGAGGAAGCACCAATTTATCCAAAGAGTGACATCTCTATTAGTGCAAAGAGTGATGTCAGTGCAAAGGAGGACATCTTATCAATTGATGTAACTAAGAAACCAACTGAGGAAGCACCAATTTCTCCAAAGAGTGACATCTCAGTTAGTGTAAAGAGTGATGTCAGTGCAAAAGAGGATATCTTAACAATTGATGTATCTAAAAAACCAACTGAGGAAGCACCAATTTCTCCAAAGAGTGACGTCTCTGTTAGTGTAAAGAGTGATGTCATTGCAATGGAGGATATATTAACAATTGATGTAACTAAAAAAACAACGGAAGAAGCACCAATTTCTCCAAAGAGTGACGTCTCTATTAGTACAAAGAGTGATGTCAGTTCGAAGGAAGCCAAGAAAGATATCTTAACAATTGATGTAACTAAGAAACCAACTGAGGAAGCACCAATTTCTCCAAAGAGTGACATCTCTGTTAGTGTAAAGAGTGATGTCAGTTCAAAGGAAGCCAAGGAAGAAATTATAACAATTGATGTAACTAAGAAACCAACTGACGAAGCACCAATTTCTCCAAAGAGTGACATCTCTGTTAGTGTAAAGAGTGATGTCAGTTCAAAGGAAGCCAAGGAGGACATCTTATTAATTGATATAACTAAGAAACCAACTGAGGAAGCACCAATTTCTCCAAAGAGTGACATCTCTATTAGTGCAAAGAGTGATGTCAGTGCAAAGGAGGACATCTTATCAATTGATGTAACTAAGAAACCAACTGAGGAAGCACCAATTTCTCCAAAGAGTGACATCTCAGTTAGTGTAAAGAGTGATGTCAGTTCAAAGGAAGCCAAGGAGGATATCTTATTAATTGATATAACTAAGAAACCTACTGAGGAAGCACCAATTTCTCCAAAGAGTGACATCTCTATTAGTGCAAAGAGTGATATCAGTGCAAAGGAGGATATCTTAACAATTGATGTAACTAAGAAACTAGCTGAGGAAGCACCAATTTCCCCAAAGAGTGACATCTCTGTTAGTGTGAAGAGTGATATCAGTGCAAAGGAGGATATCTTAACAATTGATGTAACTAAGAAACCAGCTGAGGAAGCACCAATTTCTCCAAAGAGTGACATCTCTATTAGTGCAAAGAGTGATGTCAGTTCGAAGGAAGGCAAGGAAGACATCTTAACAATTGATGTGACTAAAAAACCAACAGAGGAAGCACCAATTTCTCCAAAGAGTGACATCTCTGTTAGTGCAAAGAGTGATGTCAGTGCAAAGGAGGATATCTTAACAATTGATGTAACTAAGAAACCCGCTGAGGAAGTACCAATTTCTCCAAAGAGTGATATCTCTATTAGTGCAAAGAGTGATGTCATTACAAAGGAGGACATCTTAACAATTGATGTAACTAAGAAACCAATTGAGGAAGCACCAGTTTCTCCAAAGAGTGACGTCTCTGTTAGTGCAAAGAGTGATGTCAGCTCGAAGGAAGCCAAGGAGGACATCATAACAATTGATGTAACTAAGGAACCAACTGAAGAAGCACCAATTTCTCCAAAGAGTGACATCTCTGTTAGTGCAAAGAGTGATGTCAGTGCAAAGGAGGATATCATAACAATTGATGTAACTAAGAAACCCGCTGAGGAAGTACCAATTTCGCCAAAGAGTGACATCTCTGTTAGTGCAAAGAGTGATGTCAGTGCAAAGGAGGGCATCTTAATAATTGATGTAACTAAGAAACCAACTGAGGAAGCACCAATCTCTCCAAAGAGTGACATCTCTGTTAGTGCAAAGAGTGATGTCAGTGCAAAGGAGGACATCTTATCAATTGATGTAACTAAGAAACCCGCTGAGGAAGTACCAATTTCTCCAAAGAGTGACATCTCTGTTAGTGCAAAGAGTGATGTCAGTGCAAAGGAGGGCATTTTAATAATTGATGTAACTAAGAAACCAACTGAGGAAGCTCCAATTTCTCCAAAGAGCGACGTCTCTGTTAGTGCAAAGAGTGATGTCTTAACAGTTGATGTAACTAAGAAACCAGCTGAGGAAGTACCAATCTCTCCAAAGAGTGACGTCTCTGTTAGTGTGAAGAGTGATGTCAGTTCGAAGGAAGCCAAGGAGGACATCTTAACTATTGATGTAACTAAGAAACCAGCTGAGGAAGCACCAATTTCTCCAAAGAGTGACATCTCTGTTAGTGCAAAGAGTGATGTCAGTGCAAAGGAGGACATCTTAACAATTGATGTAACTAAGAAACCAGCTGAGGAAGCACCAATTTCTCCAAAGAGTGACATCTCTGTTAGTGTGAAGAGTGATGTCAGTTCGAAGGAAACCAAAGAGGACATCATTACAATTGACGTAACTAAGAAACCAGCTGAGGAAGCACCAATTTCTCCAAAGAGTGACATCTCAGTTAGTGTTAAGAGTGATGTTAGTTCGATGGAGGAGAAGGAGGACATCGTACCAATTGATGTAACTAAAAAACCCACTGATGAAGCACTAGTTTCTCCGAAGAGTGACTTCTCAGTCAGCGTAAAGAGTGAAGTCAGTTCCAAGGAGTTAAAGGATGAAATTTCAGAATATGATGAAGACAAGAAACTAATAGAACAAGTTGCATATGCTGGCAGTTACATTTCAGTCAGCATGAGAACTCATATAGTTAGCATAGACACCTTAGAAGACAGGTTAGCATTAGATATATCTACAAAAACTGAAGACGAAATTCACGTATCTCCAAGAAGTGATATCTCTGTTAGTGGTAGGAGTGACATCAGTTCTAAAGAGGCAAAAGAAGACAGTCTCAGGGTTGACATATCAAAAGTAACCACTGAAGAAATTCCACTGTCTCCCAGGAGTGACATCTCTATTAGTGCAAAGAGTGACATCAGTTCTCTAAGTGCAAAGAGTGATGTTAGTTCGAAAGAAGCAAAAGAGGACATTCTTGCGATTGATGTAACTAAAAAGCCAACTGAAGAAGCTCCTATATCTCCCAAGAGTGACATCTCTGTTAGCATTAAGAGTGATGTCAGTTCCAAGGAAGTCAAGGAGGATATTCTGCTACTTGATGTAACTAAAAAACCTACTGAAGAAGTTCCGGTATCTCCCAAGAGTGATATCTCTGTTAGCATTAAGAGTGATGTCAGTTCCAAGGACGTCAAGGAGGATATTTTACGAATTGATGTAACGAAAAAGCCAACTGAAGAAGCTCCTATATCTCCCAAGAGTGACATCTCTGTTAGTGCGAAGAGTGATGTCAGTTCCAAGGAAGTCAAGGAGGACATTCTTCCAATTGATTTAACTAAAAAGCCAACTGAAGAAGCTCCTGTATCTCCCAAGAGTGACATCTCTGTTAGCATTAAGAGTGATGTCAGTTCCAAGGACGTCAAGGAGGATATTCTACCAATTGATGTAACTAAAAAGCCAACTGAAGAAGCTCCTGTATCTCCCAAGAGTGACATCTCTGTTAGCATTAAGAGTGATGTCAGTTCCAAGGACGTCAAAGAGGATATTCTACCAATTGATGTAACTAAAAAGCCAATTGAAGAAGCTCCAATATCTCCCAAGAGTGACGTCTCTGTTAGCATTAAGAGTGATGTCAGTTCCAAGGAAGTCAAGGAGGATATTCTACCAATTGATGTAACGAAAAAGCAAACTGAAGAAGCTCCTATATCTCCCAAGAGTGACATCTCTGTTAGCATTAAGAGTGATGTCAGTTCCAAGGAAGTCAAGGAGGATATTCTGACTGTTGATGTAACTAAGAAACCAACTGAAGAAGCTCCAATATCTCCCAAGAGTGACGTCTCTGTTAGCATTAAGAGTGATGTCAGTTCCAAGGAAGTCAAGGAGGATATTCTACCAATTGATGTAACGAAAAAGCCAACTGAAGAAGCTCCTATATCTCCCAAGAGTGACATCTCTGTTAGCATTAAGAGTGATGTCAGTTCCAAGGAAGTCAAGGAGGATATTCTGACTGTTGATGTAACTAAGAAACCAACTGAAGAAGCTCCTATATCTCCCAAGAGTGACATCTCTGTTAGCATTAAGAGTGATGTCAGTTCCAAGGAAGTCAAGGAGGATATTCTACCAATTGATGTAACGAAAAAGCCAACTGAAGAACCTCCTATATCTCCCAAGAGTGACATCTCTGTTAGCATTAAGAGTGATGTCAGTTCCAAGGAAGTCAAGGAGGATATTCTACCAGTTGATGTAACTAAAAAACCTACTGAAGAAGTTCCTGTATCTCCCAAGAGTGACATCTCCGTTAGCATTAAGAGTGATGTCAGTTCCAAGGAAGTCAAGGAGGATATTCTACCAATTGATGTAACGAAAAAGCCAACTGAAGAAGCTCCTATATCTCCCAAGAGTGACATCTCTGTTAGCATTAAGAGTGATGTCAGTTCCAAGGAAGTCATGGAGGAAATTCTACCAATTGATGTAACGAAAAAGCCAACTGAAGAAGCTCCTATATCTCCCAAGAGTGATATCTCTGTTAGCATTAAGAGTGATGTCAGTTCCAAGGACGTCAAGGAGGATATTCTACCAATTGATGTAACGAAAAAGTCAACTGAAGAAGCTCCTATATCTCCCAAGAGTGACATCTCTGTTAGCATTAAGAGTGATGTCAGTTCCAAGGACGTCAAGGAGGATATTCTACCAATTGATGTAACTAAAAAGCCAACTGAAGAAGCTCCTATATCTCCCAAGAGTGACATCTCTGTTAGTGCAAAGAGTGATGTCAGTTCCAAGGAAGTCAAGGAGGATATTCTGACTGTTGATGTAACTAAGAAACCAACTGAAGAAGCTCCTATATCTCCCAAGAGTGACATCTCTGTTAGTGCAAAGAGTGATGTCAGTTCCAAGGAAGTCAAGGAGGATATTCTGACTGTTGATGTAACTAAAAAGCCTACTGAAGAAGCTCCTATATCTCCAAAGAGTGACATCTCTGTTAGCATTAAGAGTGATGTCAGTTCCAAGGAAGTCAAGGAAGATATTCTACCAATTGATGTAACGAAAAAGCCAACTGAAGAAGCTCCTATATCTCCCAAGAGTGACATCTCTGTTAGCATTAAGAGTGATGTTAGTTCCAAGGAAGTCAAGGAGGATATTCTACCAATTGATGTAACTAAAAAACCTACTGAAGAAATTCCTGTATCTCCCAAGAGTGACATCTCTGTTAGCATTAAGAGTGATGTCAGTTTCAAGGAAGTCAAGGAGGATATTCTACCAATTGATGTAACTAAACAGCCAACTGAAGAAGCTCCTATATCTCCCAAGAGTGACATCTCTGTTAGCATTAAGAGTGATGTCAGTTCCAAGGACGTCAAGGAGGATATTCTACCAATTGATGTAACTAAAAAGCCAACTGAAGAAGCTCCTATATCTCCCAAGAGTGACATCTCTGTTAGTGCAAAGAGTGATGTCAGTTCCAAGGAAGTCAAGGAGGATATTCTGACTGTTGATGTAACTAAAAAACCAACTGAAGAAGCTCCTATATCTCCCAAGAGTGACATCTCTGTTAGCATTAAGAGTGATGTCAGTTCCAAAGACGTCAAGGAGGATATTCTACCAACTGATGTAACGAAAAAGCCAACTGAAGAAGCTGCTATATCTCCCAAGAGTGACATCTCTGTTAGCATTAAGAGTGATGTCAGTTCCAAGGAAGTCAAGGAGGATATTCTGACTGTTGATGTAACTAAAAAACCTACTGAAGAAGTTCCTGTATCTCCCAAGAGTGACATCTCTGTTAGCATTAAGAGTGATGTCAGTTCCAAGGACGTCAAGGAGGATATTCTACCAATTGATGTAACGAAAAAGCCAACTGAAGAAGCTCCTATATCTCCCAAGAGTGACATCTCTGTTAGCATTAAGAGTGATGTCAGTTCCAAGGAAGTCAAGGAGGATATTCTACCAATTGATGTAACGAAAAAGCCAACTGAAGAAGCTCCTATATCTCCCAAGAGTGACATCTCTGTTAGCATTAAGAGTGATATCAGTTCCAAGGAAGTCAAGGAGGATATTCTACCAATTGATGTAACGAAAAAGCCAACTGAAGAAGCTCCTATATCTCCCAAGAGTGACATCTCTGTTAGCATTAAGAGTGATGTCAGTTCCAAGGAGTGATGTCAGTTCCAAGGACGTCAAGGAGGATATTCTACCAATTGATGTAACGAAAAAGCCAACTGAAGAAGCTCCTATATCTCCCAAGAGTGACATCTCTGTTAGTGCAAAGAGTGATGTCAGTTCCAAGGAAGTCAAGGAGGATATTCTGACTGTTGATGTAACTAAAAAACCAACTGAAGAAGCTCCTATATCTCCCAAGAGTGACATCTCTGTTAGCATTAAGAGTGATGTCAGTTCCAAAGACGTCAAGGAGGATATTCTACCAACTGATGTAACGAAAAAGCCAACTGAAGAAGCTCCTATATCTCCCAAGAGTGACATCTCTGTTAGCATTAAGAGTGATGTCAGTTCCAAGGAAGTCAAGGAGGATATTCTGACTGTTGATGTAACTAAAAAACCTACTGAAGAAGTTCCTGTATCTCCCAAGAGTGACATCTCTGTTAGCATTAAGAGTGATGTCAGTTCCAAGGACGTCAAGGAGGATATTCTACCAATTGATGTAACGAAAAAGCCAACTGAAGAAGCTCCTATATCTCCCAAGAGTGACATCTCTGTTAGCATTAAGAGTGATGTCAGTTCCAAGGAAGTCAAGGAGGATATTCTACCAATTGATGTCACGAAAAAGCCAACTGAAGAAGCTCCTATATCTCCCAAGAGTGACATCTCTGTTAGCATTAAGAGTGATATCAGTTCCAAGGAAGTCAAGGAGGATATTCTACTAATTGATATAACGAAAAAGCCAACTGAAGAAGCTCCTATATCTCCCAAGAGTGACATCTCTGTTAGCATTAAGAGTGATGTCAGTTCCAGGGAAGTCAAGGATTATATTCTACCAATTGATGTAACTAAAAAGCCAACTGAAGAAGCTCCTATATCTCCCAAGAGTGACATCTCTGTTAGTGCAAAGAGTGATGTCAGTTCCAAGGAAGTCAAGGAGGATATTCTGACTGTTGATGTAACTAAAAAACCTACTGAAGAAGTTCCTGTATCTCCCAAGAGTGACATCTCTGTTAGCATTAAGAGTGATGTCAGTTCCAAGGACGTCAAGGAGGATATTCTACCAATTGATGTAACGAAAAAGCCAACTGAAGAAGCTCCTATATCTCCCAAGAGTGACATCTCTGTTAGTGCAACGAGTGATGTCAGTTCCAAGGACGTCAAGGAGGATATTCTACCAATTGATGTAACTAAAAAGCCAACTGAAGAAGCTCCTATATCTCCCAAGAGTGACATCTCTGTTAGCATTAAGAGTGATGTCAGTTCCAAGGACGTCAAGGAGGATATTCTACCAATTGATGTAACTAAAAAGCCAACTGAAGAAGCTCCTATATCTCCCAAGAGTGACATCTCTGTTAGCATTAAGAGTGATGTCAGTTCCAAGGAAGTCAAGGAGGATATTCTACCAATTGATGTAACTAAAAAGCCAACTGAAGAAGCTCCTATATCTCCCAAGAGTGACATCTCTGTTAGTGCAAAGAGTGATGTCAGTTCCAAGGAAGTCAAGGAGGATATTCTGACTGTTGATGTAACTAAAAAACCAACTGAAGAAGCTCCTATATCTCCCAAGAGTGACATCTCTGTTAGCATTAAGAGTGATGTCAGTTCCAAGGACGTCAAGGAGGATATTCTACCAACTGATGTAACTAAAAAGCCAACTGAAGAAGCTCCTATATCTCCCAAGAGTGACATCTCTGTTAGCATTAAGAGTGATGTCAGTTCCAAGGACGTCAAGGAGGATATTCTACCAATTGATGTAACTAAAAAGCCAACTGAAGAAGCTCCTATATCTCCCAAGAGTGACATCTCTGTTAGTGCAAAGAGTGATGTCAGTTCCAAGGACGTCAAGAAGGATATTCTACCAATTGATGTAACTAAAAAGCCAACTGAAGAAGCTCCTATATCTCCCAAGAGTGACATCTCTGTTAGTGCAAAGAGTGATGTCAGTTCCAAGGAAGTCAAGGAGGATATTCTGACTGTTGATGTAACTAAAAAACCTACTGAAGAAGTTCCTGTATCTCCCAAGAGTGACATCTCTGTTAGCATTAAGAGTGATGTCAGTTCCAAGGACGTCAAGGAGGATATTCTACCAATTGATGTAACTAAAAAGCCAACTGAAGAAGCTCCTATATCTCCCAAGAGTGACATCTCTGTTAGCATTAAGAGTGATGTCAGTTCCAAGGACGTCAAGGAGGATATTCTACCAATTGATGTAACTAAAAAGCCAACTGAAGAAGCTCCTATATCTCCCAAGAGTGACATCTCTGTTAGCATTAAGAGTGATGTCAGTTCCAAGGAAGTCAAGGAGGATATTCTGACTGTTGATGTAACTAAAAAACCAACTGAAGAAGCTCCTATATCTCCCAAGAGTGACATCTCTGTTAGCATTAAGAGTGATGTCAGTTCCAAGGAAGTCAAGGAGGATATTCTACCAATTGATGTAACTAAAAAGCCAACTGAAGAAGCTCCTATATCTCCCAAGAGTGACATCTCTGTTAGTGCAAAGAGTGATGTCAGTTCCAAGGAAGTCAAGGAGGATATTCTGACTGTTGATGTAACTAAAAAACCAACTGAAGAAGCTCCTATATCTCCCAAGAGTGACATCTCTGTTAGCATTAAGAGTGATGTCAGTTCCAAGGACGTCAAGGAGGATATTCTACCAACTGATGTAACGAAAAAGCCAACTGAAGAAGCTCCTATATCTCCCAAGAGTGACATCTCTGTTAGCATTAAGAGTGATGTTAGTTCCAAGGAAGTCAAGGAGGATATTCTACCAATTGATGTAACTAAAAAGCCAACTGAAGAAGTTCCTGTATCTCCCAAGAGTGATATCTCTGTTAGTGCAAAGAGTGATGTCAGTTCCAAGGAGAGTAAGAAAGAAGAACTTCCAGTCGAATCTCCCAAGAGTGAGCCAAGTTCAAAGAAATCCATTGATGAAGTTCCATTGTCTCCTAAGAGTGACGTATCAGTTAGCATTAAGAGTGATGTTAGTTCAAAGGAGATTAAGGATGAGATTCCAGAATTTGAAAAGCCATTTGATGGTACTGTTTACCCAGCAAGTTATGTTTCTGTTAGTATGAGGAGTCACATTGTTCGAACAGATCTTATGGAGACGTTAACAATTGACGTCCCCCACGAACCTGTGGAAACAGTCAGTCTTTCTCCAAAGAGTGACATTTCTTCTGGTGTAAGTGTTGCCAGTTCCAAGGAGTCTATGGAAGGAATTTTGAAGATTGACGTATCTAAAAAAGCCTTCGAACAAGTTCCACTCTCTCCCAAAATGGATTTAAAAAGTGGTGTGGATGTTATCAGCAAAGTCGATGAATCAGCTATTTCTCCAAAGAGTGATGTTTCTGTAAGTGAGAAGAGTGATGTCAGCCCACTTGGCATCAAGAGAGAAGATCTTGTAATTGATATCACGAAAAAAGATACGGACAAAGTGTCAGTATCTCCAAAGAGTGACATCGCCTCCAGTGTTAAAAGTGAGTTTAGCTCGAAGGACATCTCAAAGAAATCGACTGAGGAAGCTCCGTTGTCTCCTAAGAGTGACATTTCGCTAAGTGAAAAGAGTGAAATAAGCCATAAGACTGATGTATCCAAGAGTGACGTCAGTGCAAAGAGTGACGTTGGTTCTAAATTAGATCTAACTTCAGAAAAAGAGGAAAAGCCAAAGGCCTATTTAGAATCAGGTGTTGTCGAAGAACCTATTTATGGTATCTTGAAAGCAGAACGAGCTGAACTTGTGACTGTTTCTCCCGACACCACACCCGGTTCAACACCACTGTCACCACCTCTTCGTGAGATAGGTATGGCTGGGGTCTCTCTCGTAAGTACACTCCACAAGGAGCAACTGGATCTTATGACCACTTCCATTTATGAGGAGTCAACATCCACATCTGTACTGGGAGAATTACCTGATGTTAGGGAAACCACGGCGCCTGACCTGGAAACAGATGTAATGACTACATCTGAAGACAGAGGATACGATGCTATGATGACTTCCATTTATGAACCAAGCCAAGATATTATGATGTCTTCCATGTATGGTGATGATTTTGCTATGCATGGTGTGCATGATGAGCACATAACCTCTGAGGAGGAATCAACTACTGTGGCCTTAACTAGAGTTAAGAAAACTGAAGATATCATGACAACTTCCATATATGGCAGTCTTGATGAGAGGGAATATGATGAAAGTACCCAAAAGTCCATTGATGATATGACATCTCCACGAAGTGTCACCTTTGGAACCACTCAAGAGGTGCCTGTTGACGAAGGTGGACCCTCACCGAGAACGTCAGAGGTAGATGCTGAGAGTTATCCTCAAATGTCTCCCAGAAGTGATCTGTCTTCTGAGATGTATCACATGCGATCAATTTCGCCTCGCAGTGATGGATATGAAGCAGAGCTAAGTGGCCAATTTGAAGAGCGTGATTACGACCATCCACCATTGTCTCCTCGTTCAGATATTTCTTCAATATCAGATATTGTTCGTAGGGAACAGAAACATTCCATAACAGAGAAGATAGAGAAGGAAACCACTATGATTCAACGTGAAGTTTTAGACAGTGGTCGTTCGATCTCTCCTAAAAGTGACACGACTGTAAGTGACGTTGCAGCCAAAGATGGCCTCGACTCTCTTGATTCCTTCAAATTGCAACCAGTATTAGGCAGTGATGAAGGAAAGCAACATTCTCCCCGAAGTGACATTTCCGGAAAAGATTCAGCTTTCGAAGACAGGGACAAACTATCTAGTCTTGAAAGTCAAACACTGTTTTCTTTACCAAGTGAAACGAAGGTAACGGAATCAGAAGTATCTAAATATTCAGCTGTGTCTGAAGAAATCTGCAGGTCAGAATTAAGTGAAATTATTCATGAAACTTCCTCTTTAACAGAAACTAGATTATTAAAAGAGACATCAATCGAAGATAAAATGAGAAAGGTGTCTGAAACTGTTTCTGAAAGCACAAAAAGGGACAGCACTACAGTATTTTCAGGATTGTTAACTAGTGTAGTTAGTACTATTGATAGCACAAAAACCATAATTGATGTATCAAAAGACTTGTCTTACAGCACAAAGCCAGAAACTATAGTGGAAACTGCCGCTAAAGCACCCATAAAGCCTGCAACTCAAATTTCTCCAGAAGATGAGAGTTCACTTAGCTTTAGAAAGGAACCAATCACTCACACTGAAACCCAAGATGCAATTATGGTTTCTCCAAAAAGTGATGTTTCTGTGAGCTCAAAAAGCGATGTGACATCTGTTGATGCTAAAGAATTACCCAAGGATCCTTCACTCCGAGATGAGGAGCCTAAGGCCGCAACAGAGTCGTCTGAGAGTGAAATATCAGAAGAGATTTTCAAAGAAGAGTTAAAAGAAGCTACAAAGATCCTTACAGAGACTACTGAGGTGAAAGATGTAGTTCAAGAAATCAAAACGGCTGTGACATCCCTCGAGGAGTCTACTACAATTAAGACTTCATTCCAAGATTTCAAGGAAACTGCATCTCCACCTCCCTCACCGGAAAAGTCAACTGTTTCCTCTACCGTTTCGTCCCTTCATGGAAGTGAGTCCTTAGCTTCAGTTCATAGTAGAGTTGAAGTTACTAAGGAAGAGAGCATTGGTATAGAACCTGTTGAACCTTCACCTGTGACAGTTAAAGATTCACGCATACATACTCATACCTCATCTGTATATGACTCATCATTAATTTCATCTAGCATAGCCACTACATCTGTCACAGAAACGATCACATCGACAGTGAAAACTTTACCAAGCTCTCCTGAAAAGAAAGTAACTGATCTTCCAGGAGTCCAACAAAGTATAACTGATGATGGGAGACCATCAGATGAACAGTCCTCTCCACTTCCACCTTCCTCTTCCTCCTCCTCTTCCTCTGGTGTTGAGGGTATTGTGAAAGAGGTGAAGGAGAGCAAAGACCACATACAAGCTACCTCAGTCATAATGGCTGAGAAGCTTATTGCTGAAATGGGAGAAATCACCAGCAGCAAGACACAAACCAGAACCTCCGAGCGTGTGTCGTCCGAAGAGTACAAGTCTGTCACTGCCATTACTGATAAGTCTAGTTCTGTTATGAAATCTACAGTAGAATCTAAACAGGAAACTCACATTATGGATAGTCAGGAAATTAGTCAAACTGACATTCGTGAGGAACCTACGACAGGTGAAACTGTTACAAAAACAATTATTAGAAGGGTCGTCATCGATGGGAAGCCACAAGAAACCGTCGAAGTGCTCGAGGAACCCTCTGAAACTCAAGTGATTACTAAACGAATCGTTAGGCGAACTATCATTAGTGATGGAGAGCCAACCGAGACGGTTGAAACATATGAAGAGCCCGTGGAAGGCGAAACTGTCACGCGAACAATTGTGAGAAGAGTAGTTGATGAACCGGAAGAAACTGTTGAAACTCACGAAGAACCAACAACAGGTGAGACCGTTACCAGAACAGTAGTTAGAAGAGTAGTCACTGAAGGTGAACCATTGGAAACGGAAGAGGCACCTGAAGAAACTTCAGAGTCCCCAACTGTTACTTCAAGAACTATAAGACGAACCACTATCAGCAGTGGGGAACCAACTGAAACTTTGGAATCATACGGAGAGCCTTCTGTGTGTGAAACTGTTAAGAGAACCATTATCAGAAGGGTAATTGTCGATGGAGAACCAGAAGAGACTGTAGAGACAGTTGAAGAACCTTCTGAATCTCAAACAGTCACCACAAGAACCATCAGAAGAACCATCATCAGCGATGGTGAACCAACAGAGACAGTAGAAACATTTGAAGAACCATCATCTGGTGAAACAGTTACGAAAAGAACGATTATAAGAAGGGTCATTGTCGATGGAGAACCAACAGAAACTGTTGAGACATTTGAAGAACCTTCAGCAGATGAAACAGTTACGAAAAGAACAATAATAAGAAGAGTAACTATTGATGGTGAACCAAAAGAGACTGTAGAACCTTCTGAATCTCAAACAGTTACAACAAGAACAGTTAGAAGAGTCACTGTCAGTGGAGGTGAACCAATTGAGACATTTGAAACACGTGAAGAACCTACATCAGATGAGACAGTTACAAGAAGAACCATTATCAGAAGGGTCATTGTCGATGGAGAACCAGAAGAAGAAACTGTAGAGACATTTGAAGAACCTTCTGAATCTCAGACAGTCACCACAAGAACCATCAGGAGAACCATCGTCAGCGATGGTGAACCAACAGAGACTGTAGAAACATTTGAAGAACCATCATCTGGGGAAACAGTTACCAAACGAACAATCATAAGAAGAGTAACTGTTGATGGTGAACCAACAGAGACTGTAGAGACATCTGAAGAACCTTCTGAATCTCAGACAGTCACAACAAGAACAGTTAGGCGAGTCACTGTCAGTGGAGGTGAACCAATTGAGACATTTGAAACACGTGAAGAACCTACATCAGATGAAACAGTTACAAGAAGAACGATTATCAGAAGGGTCATTGTCGATGGAGAACCAAAGGAAACTGTAGAGACCACAGAAGAACCATCTGAGTCTCAAACAGTTACAACAAGAACCATTAGGCGAACCATCATCAGTGGTGGGGAATCAACAGAATCAGTTGAATCACGCGAAGAACCATCTGAAAGTGAAACAGTCACGAGAACAACTGTGCGAAGAACAATTGTAGATGATGAACCAAAGGAGACAGTTGAGAGGTATGAAGACCCTTCAACAGGTGAGACCGTTACAAAGAGAACAATTATACGAAGAACATTTATTGACGGTGAGCCAAAAGAGACAGTAGATATGTTGGAAGAACCATCCGAACATGTTACAAGAACAGTTAGACATAGAGTTGTGAGTGGAAGTGAACCCACTGAGACAGTAGAAGCCTACGAAGACCCTACAACAGGGGAAACTGTTACAAGAACGATTATAAGGAGGACCATTGTTGATGGTGAAGAAAAGGACACTGAGGAGATGAGTAAGGAGTCTTCGGAATCTCAAACTGTTACAAGAACAGTCAAACGAATCGTTGTGAGTGGTGGTGTGCCTACAGAAGCAACTGAAGCTCTCGAGGAGCCGTCATTAGGCGAGACTGTGACAAGGAGAACCATTATTAGAAGAACCATTGTCGATGGAGAACCGAAAGAGACCGTGGAGACAGTTGAAGAACCCTCTGGATCTCCATTTGTAACGACAAGAACCGTTAAGCGAACCATCATCACTGGTGGTGAACCAACAGAAACTGTTGAGACGTATGAAGAGCCTTCTTCAGACGAGCCTGTCACAAGAACTATCTTAAGAAGAACAATAGTTGATGGAGAACCAAAGGAAACTGTTGAAACTATTGAAGAACCATCTGGATCAGAATCTGTAACAAGTAGAACTGTCAAAAGATCTATTGTCAGTAGTGACGATCAAAAAGAGTCCATTAAAACATTCGACAGCTCCTCAGAGGGCGAAGTTATAACAAGAACCATTGTTAAGAGAACCATCATTGATGGTAAGCCAACAGAGACAGTTGAGACCATGAGGGAACCTGCTGATTCTGAAGGCATGACAACCACAACTACCACCACAGTGAAGCGTACCATCATAGGCGGTGGTGATAGAACTGAGGCAACCAAATTAGGGGAAGAACCTTCAGATGATTCAGTAACCACCAGAACCACTATTAAGCGAACCATTATCAGTGGAGGAGAACCTGTTGAAACAGTCGAAACGTACGAGGGAACTGAAGGCAGAGCAAAATATGAGTTTGAATCACCCTATGAGATCAAAAGCACTAGTCCACTGAAATCGAGGCACATGAGTGAAGCACAGTCTTCTGAAAGCTACTTCATGAGATCTGAGGAGTCAAAATCATCTACATTCTCAGAAACCAAAAGAAGTGTTTCAGAAGAGACTGAAAAGTCCGTTTTCTCAAAATCCACAGCAGAAACGGTCCAAGAAGACATCAGAAGTTCTCGAGAATCTGTCTCTACAGTTGACGAAGCTACAGCTCACGAAGGACCTCGAATGGGTGCACTTAGAAAGTCATCAACCAGCAGTACTGAAGGCACTCCAGGAAGCCCCAGAACTGGTCGAGTTGTTGTAAGAAAAGTTACCACTGTGATAACTAAATACTATGACGACGGAGAAGAGGTGGAAATGGAACAGCTCCCAGGCGAAGAAGTGGTTGAAGTACTTGGTGATCAACTGGTCTCTGAGGATATCTTGCGAAAGATATCTGGATCAGCTTCACAGTCTCCAATCAGTGGCAGAAAATTCTCCGGCCACAGTATTCCAGGGACTTCAATGGCCTATACCACATCTCATTCACTGTGTGGACCGTGGACAAGCGATGAATCGTTGAGTGGTGAGCCCACAGTGGTCACACGCACCACTCGCACAACAATAGGTGACAGTGATACAGATGGTTCAGAGGGTGTGGTGACCAGCACCGTCACTACCGTCACGCGTCGCTTAATGAGTGATGATGCCTCTGACAAGGATGATAGGCCTCGATCCGCCAGTAGCGATACAAGCCTTCACGATCCTTTCCCGCCACCACAGAAAGCACGATCTGATCCAAAGGAACAAGTTACAAGCAGAGTTTCCAGTGCTGAACAGTCATCATCATTTACCACACAGTTTGGAGCCACTGGAATGCAATACCAAGAAGAGTATGATGACGAGCCTGTGTATGAGTATCACCCACCAGATGGAGCACAGCTTGGGCAGTTCATGTATAGTGACCAAGGAGGTGACTTTGATAATGGAAATCTTCCATCCCGTGCAAGGGAACCATCAACGACCGAAGCTGAAGACAAATTAAACAGGAATCAAACGTGGAAGATGACTACATCGACACCGAAGAGCTCAACTTCCACCACTGTAACTACCACTACCTCATCAACAGCCAAGGATGCTAAAGAGACCCTACAACAGTGGGGTAAACCTCTAGGGCTCCCATCACCTGTGCCTCTTCCTGCACCGATTCCGCCTTCTGACAGCCCCAAACCACCTAGTCCCCGTAAGGAACGAAGAACAAGCAGGAGATCTAAGAGGATAGGCCCACCAGTCTATCTTGACCTTGCATACGTACCTCATGCAGCAAATCCTAACTACACCAATGCAGACTTCTTCAGGAAAGTGAGAGCGAGATACTACGTCTTCTCTGGCATCGACCCTGGCAGGGAGGTGCTCGACGCATTACTTGAAGCCAAGATGGAATGGGAAGATAAAGAAATGGGTAAGTAGTATATTTTTAGAGTTAAGTATTATGAAAGTGCCTCCAAATTATTCATGAATTCTACTGCATTTAATATACTCTCTAATTGAACACTTAACCTTAATGAATTATCTAATGTATATCTTTCAGATCTTTATTATACAAACTTCTAATCATAAAAATAGTTTACTTATTAAATAAGAATACTGTTTATTAATTTGTTTTTTCACTTTTAGTTAAGTTTAATATGAATAGAATTTTATGAAATGAAGCATTTCATCCTATAGAGTGTTGTGGTCAAATAGACTCCCGTCATTCAGACCTTGCCTTCAAGATCTTTCTTGCCCAGCATCTAATCTCCACTCAATACAAATATTACACTATTCAAATGTGGTTATTCTGCATTTAATAGATTACTGAATATTGATCAATATTGTATATATATATATATATATATGAGCCCTTAGTCCAACAAGTTGATATGGCTTCCAAATAGTGATATTCCCTAATATCCAATGAGACCCCTCAGTTCTTGATTTACATAATTATAGATTTTCACATTGTTTTCTGTAACACTGATTCTCTTATCTGTGATAAGTTCTCTTATCTTATGATATCTGTGCAACACATATCAAGCTTTCTAATCACTCATTACCCCTCATCATCCGACAGAGGTAACGATCATTCCCACCTACGACACCGATGCCCTGGGCTACTGGGTGGCTGCTAACGAAGACGCCCTTATTGCTAACAAGATCGACCTCGCTCCATCGGCTTCTCGCTGCACGATCAACCTTCAGGACCACGAGACAAGCTGCAATGCCTACCGTCTGGAGTTCTGAGCACCGCGCTCAGAACCTCTCCACTGTAGATAGCTGGCCATGACCTATCCTTTCAAGAAACTCCGAAACACCACTACCTGCATATCCGGATGATTCGACATCTTCTAGTAATTCCGGGACATCTGAAAAGATGTCTCTGGACTCTCAACGTATACACTTATCTATATCTACTACAAGGAATTTATGTTTGCGAAATTACTTCGAGATTAATTGCCACCGGATGTATCTCCGGTTCATCGATGCCTAACTGTGACTCTTGAGTTGCTGGGGGTTCAGACCCCCTTTTGCAACCTCTCCCCCGCTGCCTTCCATGAGAACTTAGAGCTCTTACCAAGCCGTCTGAGTCCCCTACCCTGATAGTCAAGTCCTAAATTAGCCATCCAGAATATTTTCATTGACTGTCTCGTAGGTACCCACTGTCTCTGTGGGATGCTGTGTTTAGATTCTACTGCAGTCAAGTAGACAATTTTTTGAAACATTGTAGATCCGTGATGGTGGATTTTCTACATTTGCATCCATTAAGACGAATGATATTTGATGAGAAAAGGGTTTTATTATGTATTACTCAAATTTTTTTCATTATGCCAATAGTCATATATATATTGATTATATCAATAGTAGCATAATTATAGAACTATTCCGTTTCATGGATATTACTGAAGATGGCCTTGTGTTATACACTTATATATGAGAACTAATTTCCCAGATTTTGACGATTCTGACCTGATCTCTTGATAACCTGGAATTACACAAAACTCAACTATTGAGGATACTGAGTGCAGATATGTCTAAGAATATACTGATTGTCAGTCTATCTGTAATGTGATTTAAGATTGTTGATGAACACTCCTGTGACCGAATAGAGCTAAGCAATATGCATTTTAAAATATTTCACTAAATAGGATTATTCTACTTATTCAGCGTGATAATGCTGCAGTCCTAGGTAGACCATGCTGCAGAAAATGGCTAGAGGGAGATTGCTCATTTTGTAAAATAAAATGTTATAAAACTGTCCTTGACAGTAATCAGCTATGTAGAGTATAAGGCAAATATTGAAAGAAGAGTTAATAATGACTTTGTTATATGTATACTAGTAGTTTATAAACAGCCAAGTGTTGAGAGCGAGCCTATTTTTTCTTAGATGAGGCTGAATGGTCGAAATAGCAGTATCTTTCTTCCAAGAGATGAATGTTTGGGACTAAAGGAGTGAATGAGAAACTGACCAAGTTTACTGTCTTGGTATAAGTCTCGAACGTCCACTCAGGCACTACTGATCGGTTTGACACATGGATTCACATTATTTTGTAACAGGGGCTCCCGTTAGGACGGAGGTGATAATATGATCCTGCTTTATCAGTCGTTAGTAAGAATCCTGACTTCTGTTGATGGAGAGTGCCCTTTAGTCGAAAAGTGTACTCAAAGCTTTTTCCATATATGCTACACAGTGTAAGTGTTACTTGAAAGTGTGAATGACTTTCGTGATTTCTGACGTTAAGCTTAAATTCATCTCTTGCTTTGAGTTTCATTTGTAATTATGTTCTTATTTGATACTATCCGCTCCTTTCAGATGAAGTGCATTCCATAAAAAAATACAAAATAAAATACAAAATGGGAGCGTGAATTGCAGGCTGTAGGAAGGAGAGCAGAACATGCTCTCAGATAATGGTGCTAAACAGAAGGTCTTGCGAGTACTCGGTGCCATACGCGAGCCGTACGAGGCACTAGGAGCCATGGGGGTGGCTCCGAAGCCCAGGAGTGCGTGTATGGCACTCACTCAGCAAGGGTTTGAGCATAGTGATAAGCCTTTCAAGTTCTGCAAGCTTCGTTAGGTCAACTTTGGCCAAGTTAAACCTTGTTTAGGAGGCATTTCTAGGGGCCACAACGTGGCTTTCCACGAAGTCATTTTTAACGACCTATTTGTGATGGTCAAACTGCCAGCAATGCCTGTTCGTGAGGAGTGACTAATTACACGAAACATTGATATGAGTGAATTTATTTCCTCCTAGTAATGTCTCTAAAACTGTGGTTATGGCCGTCACTTCCTGTCCAAATAGAGTTGAAAAGGCATCGCTACTTCTCTGGTTACCACAGAACCGGTGTACATTAATCTTTAAAAACTTTATTAATTAAAGTCAAAAGACCTACGATTGTAGGTTTATAAAAGCCTCGCTGTCAAGACCTTGTCGCATAAACTAATTACCTATCATTTCCACGTGCGCCGAAGAGAGAATAAAATATCCAAATGCAGTAATTAGTTTATGAGATCAGGTTCCTTTGAAAAGGTGAGCGAGAAAATAACTGTGGTTAGAGGAGGTTTAGCCTACACGAACACGGCAAGATTCAGATATTTCATGTGATTGCTTTAGGTGCTTATTGGCAAACCAGACGCCTTCTCGCCCTTGAGCTTATTGATTGGTAAACCAAATAGCTTCTTGCCCTTAGCTAAGTTACTGCAGAATTTTTCTCCATTACGGCCAATTTCCGGGTTGAGTTGCCACTGAGTATGATAAAATATGATGGCTAGATTGTTGCCATTGGCCGTGTTAAAGTGAACTCAGATAAGCTATAGTATCTTGATTCCTTTGACACAATGTAAGTGTTCTTACATCTCGTCTGAGAATTTGCCTGTTTGTGAATGAGAAGGTTGGTATAACTGGGATTTTTTTCATTATTTATGATATTGTGTCATAAGGTGATATCCTATATTAAAAGTTACTGAGTGGTGCAACACTCTTTTGAAATTTAATCTTTATAAAGGTTGAATGACATGTGATATGATAATCATATATATTTAAGCTGTTATATTACAAGTGGTGGCGTGGACAATTGAAAGAGGCTATTAAAAAAAATAAATTACTAAAATTGTACAGTGGCTTTTAAGCATTTCTGTCACAAACACCGCTGATCCTGTACCAATTTTATGTTAACATCCTTGAAGTAAAGAGCTTTCTGAAGACCCTTGAGCGTCAGCATTCCGACCATATCTTTTTTGTCGCTCTCAGCACTATGATTTTTGCATCACTGTAACACGGCCACTGCCTCTTCAAATAATTCAGCGTTTCAGGGTCTTCAGCAAAGTTCTTAATATTTCTGATTTCCAGGCTTTATTATATTATATCCAGCCTGTGCACTTTGTCGTGTATTAAAGAAAATATATATATATATATCTATGACGATACGTGCGATACTGCTGGTGATTATTTGTCAGTGTTGACTTTCTCGTGATGTTGTAAGGAAAGTGAATGTTATTGAATGGTTGCCAATAGTCTCGTTGGTGTCGTCAGGGGCCTTATTTTTGACGAACTTTCGTCCAGGTCACCAAATGAACTTGTCCAGCAACGCACTGGACGTCTGGTGTTGGGGGGCTATGAGTGTTTAAGCCATCAGGTGATATTTTTATTCTGTACCAGAGGACATTTGCCTGAGGAGATGAATACCATACCTTGTTGCCAGGAGTCCGGCGGCGGTGGCCAGGAGGGTTCATTGGTACTTTGTGACCAACTGTTTCACAAATATGGCCCCCGTCATGTAGTTTCCTGCTTAATGCTTCTCGCTCCATGTCCCGTTACCTCTAGTCAAAAAAAAAAATCTAGAAGTCTAGAAGAAAAAGATCATGAACTCTGCTGACACCTATTACGTGACATGTTTGGCTATTTTGGCTCTCATTCAGTTCACTATGGTTCATTTTCACTACTTTATAAATAGGAAAATAAACCCTATTGAATCTCTATTTTGGGTTCATAATTGCTGGTCTTGTCACTAATATTATGCATATGTATGGGATATCCTGTGACATTAAAAAGTAGAATAAAACTGTAACCTGCATTTTTCTTTTCCAACTTTTTCTGCTCAAGTTTTCTTTGACCTCTATGCTTGGATTTCATAAAATAAACATGTAACATTTTCTAGGAGTATAGATACAGAAGAATCCTTAGAACATATTTACACTTACCACATATTTACAAAGCAACAGTATCATATATTGCTATTTTTCTTTTTATTACACAAAACATATATTAATTATAATGGTAAAAATAATATGATATTGTTATTTTAAAAAACAGTACGAATAATGTGTTAATGATATTCGTTGGCACAAATGCCATTCCCCCTTCGTGACCGGCGATTTGGTTAGGCTAGGAAGGACTAGATTTCAATGGACAGCTGAGGGGGGCCTACACAACTCACCTTTAGGTCACCTTTTTCACCTTTTGGTCTGAGGTGAAAACCGAGGCTAATAGCAAAGCCTGTGGCGGGCCCATTCATATGTTTGTAATACATTGAGACCCGCAATTCTCTATTTACCTTCGTACGGAAGCCAAGAATGCCCAAGAACCTGTTGGTTTTACGGAAAATGGGATTCAATATCCTTCTTTAGTGAGGGATAGTGAGTAAAACGAGAGATTTAGTAGCTAGCTGGTCTAGCTGGAGTAGGGCTGAGTAGGCATTGAGGAATCAACACATACGATGGTCTCTCGTGGGCCAATCCTCTTCTCAATGATGACTGGAGTATGCCTGTCCTACGACCACTGAGATTCGTGTTCTTCAACCCTGGTCCCCCGCCACAACTCTCCTGTGGCGGGCCACCAGGCTTACCTTATTCTCTTAAAAATAAGTACAGACTCTTGTAGTAAAGACGCTATTTACTCTTCTCAGTTAACTGACCTGCATTCTGCTCCTGAGTACGAGTTACAGGGGCACAGAGAAGAACCACGAAGCACTGGGACTCAGAGAAGACCCACGAAGCACTGGGGCACAGAGAAGACCCACGAAGCAATGGGGCACAGAGAAGAACCACGAAGCACTGGGGCACAGAGAAGACCCACGAAGTACAGGGGCACAGAGAAGACCCACGAAGCACTGGGGCACAGAGAAGACCCACGAAGTACAGGGGCACAGAGAAGACCCACGAAGCACTGGGGCACATAGAAGACCCACGAAGCACTGGGGCACAGAGAAGAACCACGAAGCACTGGGGCACAGAGAAGACCCACGAAGCACTGGGACTCAGAGAAGACCCACGAAGCACTGGGGCACAGAGAAGACCCACGAAGTACAGGGGCACAGAGAAGACCCACGAAGCACTGGGGCACATAGAAGACCCACGAAGCACTGGGGCACAGAGAAGAACCACGAAGCACTGGGGCACAGAGAAGACCCACGAAGCACTGGGACTCAGAGAAGACCCACGAAGTACAGGGGCACAGAGAAGACCCACGAAGCACTGGGGCACATAGAAGACCCACGAAGCACTGGGGCACAGAGAAGAACCACGAAGCACTGGGGCACAGAGAAGACCCACGAAGCACTGGGACTCAGAGAAGACCCACGAAGTACAGGGGCACAGAGAAGACCCACGAAGCACTGGGACACAGAGAAGACCCACGAAGCACTAAATCATAGAGAAGATTCACAAAAGACTCGGGGCATAAAAGACCTACGATTTAGCAGACCCATATTTTGTTGAGACATACAACAAGTAGCCGGATTAGGTATTAGGTTGAGCCTGGATGATTAGAGCCTAGTATTCAAGGCTTCTAATCATCCAGGCTCATTAACACATATCTTAAAGCGCTGTGTCATTACTTTTATGTCTCTGTATATCCGATTGGCTGTTTAATATACAAGGTTTTTCTATAGAGTACTTGTCAGTCATCTTAGATTTATTAGAAGACAATAAAATCAGAATATATCAAATCTTGCACATGTAGAATTTTCCATTTAGCATTTATTCTATACATAATATGATGAAATAGTTTGATTCCGTCACTACTCTTAATGCGTCTGGTGGCTCAGAGCTTGATAACAAGATGCGCGCCCGCATGCGCCCGCATGCAGTCACATATAACCTGTTATTTTCTGTATATATGTGTTTAATAAATATTTGGAAGGGTTACGTGTGCGATACAGAGAAAGAACTTTCTTTTTTGTTGTGTGGGGTTAAGTTTTATCAAACTCTGGAGAGTTATTGGAGGTGTGTGACACTAGTTTACCGACCAATCTGTATGTATACTTTAGTTTTGAACTTAGTTCAGGACCAAAGTAAACTTTGATTATATATTTTCAGGTACGAAGTGTACCTTATCTGAGTATTCTGTGACTTTATTTGAATATAATTTGTGTGAAACTCGAATTGGCATCATGTGTTATACGCGTTTTAGGCATAAAAATATATATGTTCTCAGTTAGGTTTTCCATATTCACGAATATTTAGTATCCCTATTGAAACAATACTTTGTTTCAATAGGCATTTATTTTATACATTTTAATATATTTATAACCATGATAAAAAATAGAACAGATGAGTTTTGAAATCCATTTTAATTATTTTAATACAAGATCTTATTTGCTTGAAGAACTGTTGTGAGATCTTGAAAGCAAATTATCCATGAAAGATTTCTCAATTTTCAATTATCTGGTATGCCGCTAGCCTTGTCTGGGAAAATTTTTGACTTTGAATTTTGACTTTGACTTTGACTTTGTTCTTTCTTACATTCTCAGTGGAAGCAATAGTTAGTTAGTTTAGTTCATTTATTATGCACCCTATACCCATCTTGTGGGCGGTAGTGGAAAGGGTTACAGAGGAACATAATTGGCGCAAGGACTGAACCCCACAATTCATTTAGCTAAGCAAGTTACAATCTTGATGAGCTAGTTACAAAATTCAGTATAAGTCGTCACATCATAAAAGGGTTCGAGATCGACCACAAGTACAGCTTAATTTGGAAGCAACAGGAAGCCTGATTTCATGCCGAATACTTCAATGGACACAAGATCAAAAGAACATCAAAATTTAGAACACAACACAAGATAGGTTGTCATTGTAGGCGACATAGAACCTATTAGGAGCATATTACCACCGACAAAATCCCAGATTATTATTTAATGTGAAGTGAGGAGAGGTATCAGGTGTAAGAAAACATGCCTAAATATCTTGGCCAGTCAAATAATAGAATTCGGGTCCAGTCGGTTGTTTTCCGACTGTGCAGACCACTACGCTACGTGTTATACATGTTAATAATAATAATAAAAACTACTTTGAAATCAATTTTAAAGTACAGTAAAGGGCGTACTTTAGTGTCTCCGTTATTCTCTTTACATTTTCTATAATATTTTTTTGTAATATTCAGGGTATACCAAAACATTTATGTATTTACATATTTAAGTACACATACAAGAGTTTTTACATTCCTGTACAGCCACCAGCACCCTTAGCGTTTAGGGCAAGAGCAAGGTTCATACTACACTGCTTGTTCGACTTGTATAGAGATCTAGATGAAGTAAAGTGTAGAGTGTGTGTGGACAAAGACACAAACATTGACACAAAAAATTGAGCCTGAGCTAATTCTAAACTCACGCTACAAACAATGACAAACCATCTTTTAATTTTAAACTTCTACAAACCATGATAAACTTTTACTAAGGATAAAATTTCTGAAATCCTTGCACAGTATCCATGTATCGCTTCTAGTAGATAAACGTCATATGAGATACAGGAGCAAATAACAGGGGGGGGGGGGCTGACGGTTGAGTGGACAGTATTCGGGGTTCGTAGTCCTCAGGGTCCGGGTTCGATCCCCGGTGGAAGCGGAAACAAATGAGCAGAATGTCTTTTACCCTGATGTCCCTGTTACCTGGCAGTAAATAGGTATCTGGGAGTTAGACAACTGTCACGGGCTGCTTCCTGGGTGGTGTATGTGAAAAAAAATTAATCGTTGATTGTTTGGCAGTTGAGAGGCGGGCCGAAAGAGCAGAGCTCAACCCCCGCAACCACAACTAGGTGAATATAAATGCACTCAAACACGCACACACACACACACACATGCACACTCACACACACACACACGCATTCACGCTCGCACACACAAGCACAATCACACACACACACGCTCGTCCACGCACTCACGCTCCCGCAAACACACACGTCCACACACATGGAGAGAACGTCCCCAGTGGAGAGAAGGGACTTCGTGACAAATCGCCAACATAGGTTCAGGGAGGGTAAATCTTGCCTTACAGGCTTGATAGAATTCTACGATCAGGTGACAAAGATTAAGCAAGAAAGAGAGGGCTGGGCGGACTGCATTTTCTTGGATTGTCGGAAAGCCTTTGACACAGTACCGCATAAGAGGCTGGTACATAAGCTGGAGAGACAGGCAGGTGTAGCTGGTAAGGTGCTCCAGTGGATAAGGGAGTATCTAAGCAATAGGAAGCAGAGAGTTACGGTGAGGGGTGAGACCTCCGATTGGCGTGAAGTCACCAGTGGAGTCCCACAGGGCTCTGTACTCGGTCCTATCTTGTTTCTGATATATGTAAATGATCTCCCAGAGGGTATCGATTCATTTCTCTCAATGTTTGCAGACGATGCTAAAATTATGAGAAGGATTAAAACAGAAGAGGACTGTTTGAGGCTTCAAGAAGACCTAGACAAGCTGAAGGAATGGTCGAACAAATGGTTGTTAGAGTTTAACCCAACCAAATGTAATGTAATGAAGATAGGTGTAGGGAACAGGAGGCCAGATACAAGGTATCATCTGGGAGAGGAAATTCTTCAGGAGTCAGAGAAGGAAAAAGACTTGGGGGTTGACATCACGCCAGACCTGTCTCCTGCAGCACATATCAAGCGGATAACATCAGCAGCATATGCCAGGCTGGCCAACATACGAACGGCATTCAGGAACTTGTGTAAAGAATCATTCAGAACTTTGTATACCACATATGTCAGGCCAATCCTGGAGTATGCAGCCCCAGCATGGAGTCCATATCTAGTCAAGGATAAGACTAAACTGGAAAAGGTTCAAAGGTTTGCCACCAGACTAGTACCTGAGCTGAGAGGTATGAGCTACGAGGAGAGACTACGGGAATTAAACCTCACTTCGCTGGAAGACAGAAGAGTTAGGGGGGACATGATCACCACACTCAAGATTCTGAAGGGAATTGATAGGGTAGATAAAGACAGTCTATTTAACACAAGGAGAACACGCACAAGGGGACACAGGTGGAAACTGAGTGCCCAAATGAGCCACAGAGATATTAGAAAGAACTTTTTTAGTGTCAGAGTGGTTGACAAATGGAATGCATTAGGAAGTGATGTGGTGGAGGCTGACTCCATACACAGTTTCAAGTGTAGATATGATAGAGCCCGATAGGCTCAGGAATCTGTACACCTGTTGATTGACGGTTGAGAGGCGGGACCAAAGAGCCAGAGCTCAACCCCCGCAAACACAACTAGGTGAGTACATACACACTCACTCAAGCTCGCACACACACACACACTCACTCACGCTCGCACACACACACACGCACACGCACACACTCACTCACGCTTGCACACACACATATAGGGGCCTCGTAGCCTGGTGAATAGCGCGCAGGGCTCGTAATTCTGTGGCGCGGGTTCGATTCCCGCACCAGGCAGAAACAAATGGGCAAAGTTTCTCTCACCCTGAATGTCCCTGTTACCTAGCAGTAAATAGGTACCTGGGAGTTAGTCAGCTGTCACGGGCTGCTTCCTGGGGTGTGTGTATGTGGTGTGGAAAAAAAAAGTAGTTAGTAAACAGTTGATTGCCAGTTGAGAGGCGGGCCGAAAGAGCAAAGCTCAACGCCCGCAAACACAACTAGGTGAATACATACACACGCACACTCGCATTCATGCACACACACACAATGTATGTAATATAATGAAGATAGGGGTAGGAAGCAGGAGACCAGATACAAGGTATCATTTGGGAGATGAGATACTTCAAGAGTCAGAGAGAGAAAGACCTGGGGGTTGATATCACGCCAGACCTGACCCCTGAAGCTCATTTCAAGAGGATAACAGCAGCAGCATCTGCCAGGTTGGCTAACATAAGAACGGCCTTTAGAAACTTGTGTAAGGAATCTTTCAGAACATTATATACCACATATGTCAGGCCAATCCTGGAGTATGCGGCTCCAGCATGGAGTCCATATATAGTCAAGCATAAGACTAAACTGGAAAAGGTCCAAAGGTTTGCCACCAGACTAGTACCCGAGCTGAGAGGTATGAGCTACGAGGAGAGACAACGGGAATTAAACCTCACTTCGTTGGAAGACAGAAGAGTTAGGGGGGACATGATCACCACATTCAAGATTCTCAAGGGAATCGACAGGGTTGATAAAGACAGGCTGTTTAACACAAGGGGCACACGCACTAGGGGACACAGGTGGAAACTGAGTGCCCAAATGAGCCACAGATATATTAGAAAGAACTTTTTTAGTGTCAGAGTGGTTAACAAATGGAATGCATTAGGAAGCGATGTGGTGGAGGCTGACTCCATACACAGTTTCAAGTGTAGATATGATAGAGCCCGATAGGCTCAGGAACCTGTACACCTGTTGATTGACAGTTGAAAGGCGGGACCAAAGAGCCAGAGCTCAACCCCCGCAAACACAACTAGGTGAGTACACACACACACACACACACACACGCACACACACGCACAC